TCTTTTTTTTTTATTGTGCAATCTCAACGCCGTACCTGTACTGATCTTATTTATCTTAGATTAAACTAATTCCGTTTCTTTTTGTGGCGATTGCTCAGAGCACTGAATGTACCCCTCTACACGGCAGTATGTTCTCAGACTTCACCGTTACGAATTCATGGTATTCCGCCAGGGTAGCAATAATTGAGCTTATGAAATTCGTTGCGCAGATTGAGTCTTCCGTGTCATTAATGTCCCATTAATAAAGAGGTAATCTTATCTCTAATTCTTATCCAATATAACTATTGGATGATAATGGGACGAAAGGTTTTGTGTAACATTGAATATGACAATCAGATCTTCGCAACTGACTCGAGAGATAAGGGCCTTGCATATTTCAGTTGTAATTAACCATTATGGGCGTATCGAAAAGGTAGAGCATTAACGATCGGCGAAATGGCGGCGGCGATGTGGACAAGATAAATAGGCTAACTTTTATTCGTAGAGTATAGCTTAATCTGAAGAGAAGTCGGTTGGGGAACGCACCCCTGTTATTAGGAGCACTTTGTAATAAATATATAATCATCACTCCTTCCAGCAAAAATGGATTATGGTGGATAGAGATTGTATTTTATTCTAGTTGGACCGAGATATATAGTATGGGCGAAGGAATAAAAGCACAGACAGTAGTTTCGAATCATCTGGACGAAGAATCGTCGATTAAAAATGAAAATAGTATTAGCAATCATGAGGACGAAACGTTTTGGCAAAAGATAGTTCGTGTATGTGAGGTCCAGCAGAAGGGAGATTTGACAACTCAACAGATGTTTCTTTATAATTATGATTTAAGACCTGTGGAAGAGGCAAGAAGAACATGGTCGTGGTTCAATTATGTGTTCTTCTGGATTGCAGATTCGTTCAATATCAATACATGGCAAATAGCGGCGACTGGGGTGCAAGATGGAATGACATGGTGGCAAACCTGGTTATCTGTGTGGTTGGGATATGGTTTGGCTGGTATATTCGTGAGTTTGGGTGCCAGAATTGGGATATTTTATCATATTTCGTTTCCAGTTGCCGCAAGATCATCCTTTGGGATATATGGTAGTTTGTGGCCCATTCTCAATAGAGTCGTCATGAGTTGTGTATGGTATTCTGTTCAGGCAATGGTAGCGGGCCCATGTATTGGACTAATGTTGAGGTCGATTTTCAGTCAGCATTTGGATGAGAAGTTGGACAAGCATCTTGATGAAGGCTTGGATACATTCCAATTCCTTTCATTCTTCCTTTTCTGGTTGATTTCATTACCAGCACTTTGGTTTCACCCACACCAGATTAGACATTTATTTACTTTTAAAGCGTACGTAGTTCCTTTTGCAGGGATTGGCTTTTTAGTTTGGACACTTGTTAAAGCTGGGGGTATAGGGCCTGTTGTTCATCAAAAAGCGACGGTGAATGGATCTGCATTGGCCTGGATATTTGTTCAATCTACCATGAATTCCATTGCTAATTTCGCAACATTGATTGTTAATGCACCAGATTTTTCTCGTTTTGCAAAGAAACCTTCATTCGGAATGAAATACCTAGTATACACAATTTCCATTCCATTGTGTTTTTCAATAACCTCATTAATTGGTATTTTGGTTAGTTCAGCATCCACAATTATGTATGGTGAGACACTTTGGTCCCCCTTGGATGTTCTTTCAAACTTCTTAGATGATTATACTCCTGGTAACCGAGCAGGTGTCTTCTTCATTAGTATTGCATTTGCATTAGCTCAATTAGGTACTAATATTTCAGCAAATTCGTTAAGTTTTGGTACTGACGTAACTGCTATTTTGCCTAGATTTTTGAATATTAGAAGAGGGGGATACTTATGTGCCGCATTAGCTTTGGTTATCTTTCCTTGGAGGTTAAATTCAAGTTCGTCCAAATTCACTACGTATTTATCTGCATATTCGGTATTCCTTTCATCTATAGCTGGAGTGGTTGCTATTGATTATTACTATGTTAGAAGAGGTTACATCAAATTAACACACTTATACTCACTTTTTGCACCAGAAAGTCCAAGTTCCGAATCCTTTTATAAGTTTAACAAAATCGGTTGTAACTGGAGAGCTTATGTTGCATACATTTGCGGTATACTACCAAACATTGTTGGGTTTGTCGGTGCTACAGGAACTCATGATGTACCAATTGGAGCCACTAGAGTGTATGATTTAAATTTTTTTATGGGTTTCATTTCATCTGGCTTGATTTACGCAATATTGTGTCACTTCTTTCCAATGAAAGGTGTTCCAAATGTTGGTCCTTTTGAAAAGGGCTGGCATGAAGAGTGGCAGTACGTCGAAGATTTTGAAGAAGAATTAACTGGTCATTCTATTCACGAGGGTTTAGAACAAAAAGTCGCCTACACTTCTGGTAGTTCTAAAGAAAAATATAATGATACTATTATTTAGTTATTTAGTTCTTAAGTGTTTTTATTCCTATTTATTACAAATCTAATTATTAATCTTTATAAAAAATTTTTGAGTAGTTGCCAACGGACCAAAAAGCCAAATTATGAAAGCAAAACTAATCATACCCACAACGTCTGCCACGGTTTCGATGTAATCATTTATATTTTGTCTTTTACTTATACCACAAATATGGTCATGTGGTACAAAGGCCGTTGCCGGCTTTAACTAATCTGTTAAAGCATTCTTGCCTCTTGTTAATTATGGTGACTAACGTATTACTTCCTGTATTTGTATCACTAAAGAATCCCACCGAAGCGTAAACATAAGAAACAAGCTAGCAAAGGAAGAAGTAAATTGACGGTAAGTGCAACATAGTGCGCAGAAGCTCTATAAAATTCTTCTAAGAATATTGTTCTATATGGCTCTTCGATATACATTAGAAGTATGATTTATGTGAAAATCATCCAATATACTCTAAATAGCCCGACTATAAATTCCGCACTACCGGATGAAAGAAGTCCTTTCAGTTATAATTACCATGATCTAATAAGGAAACAAAACACAAAAAATACAAAATACAAAATAAGAAATAAGTTATTATCAGTAGTTTAAAGATCAAAGAAGCCATACAGAGCATGGACTCTTAATATTATACTATATTTACAAAACGCCAAAATATTATTATACCTATGTAACGGCGAATTGACTGTCATTCTATTCACCAAGGTTTAGTACAAACAGTCCCCTACACTTTTGGTTGTACTTAAGAAAAGTATTATTTGGTTATTTATTTATTTCTTATGTGTGTTATTCATATTCATTACGAATCTAATTTTTAATTTTTCATACAAGATGATGATGAGTAGTTGCAAAATAGGCTAAACGGAAATGGATCATTAGCCGTAGAAATACGAGATGAATTTTTTCCTCGAGCTCGGCTAATAACTATTCCATATTGTAGGTTGAATTATTGAGATTGAATTGATGAAACAAAGCTAAAGACGAAAGACATTGACAGAAAGATATAGAGTTATAGAACTGGACGTGCTGATTAATGATGTTGAGTACGAAATATTTGCTGAAGATACGTGTGAATCAAATAAGATTTGCAAGTTTTCAGGTTCCTAAGTCTTATGTACCTAGCCAGCTAATCAGAAATATACCTTTTAAACAGGCTCTATCCATATGGTACCAGTCATTGAAACCAGGGAGATTACAAATTTTACAAGATGAGCTTACTGAATTGATGCTACCAACTGAAATGAACTCTCATTTAATCAAAGAAAATAAGAAGGTGAAAATCGACGATAACGGAAATTATTTAAATGAACTTTATTTTGAAATAAATAACAATTCAAACAAACCAACTAAGCATGTTGTATTCATACATGGTTATGGTGCGTCTTTGGGATGCTTTGCCAGAAATTATCAAATCATTAATAGATTGCAAGATCGGAGATACAATTACAAAGTCCATTTCTTGGATAACATTTCCTTCGGATTGTCATCGAACCCAAAAATTGCATCATCTCTCATTAATGGAAGAATACCAACATGTCCATCAGTTAAGATGAATGATCCTGAACCTACTACCAAGGAAAATGTGTACAATAAGTATTATAAATTAATTGAATCGTACGAAATTAATAAAGAAGAATTCAAAGAATACCAAGATAAATTTATTCCTATTCTAAATGAAATGGAGAAGTATTATATTGAAGCAATTGAAAAGTGGCGTATTGAGTCCAAAATCGAGAAAATTGATTATTTGGTTGGTCATTCTTTTGGCGGTTATTGGACAAGTTCTTATGCTGTAAAATATCTGCAAAATTTGTCAAATTTGATATTATTGTCACCTGTTGGGGTAGAAAGACACGTACATGCTGTCACAAATCCTATCGATGAAATTAAGACTCAACCTATCAAACCAAGCATAGATCCAACATCTTACAATTTTTTAACTCGTATGCCAATGATTACAGGAAAGCATATAATAAACTGGTATACTGTATTACCTTACTTACCAAAGTTACTCAGATGGCTAGGACCTTGGGGAGTTACCAGATATTATAAAGAGAGGTATGGTAAGCTTTTCAAGGTTAATAAGGTGACATCCCAACTTGGCGGAGCTTCAGGAGTCTTTCAGCATGAAAACGACCTTATTATTGGAACCAATGAAGAGTGTTACTTGTTATTTGAATACCTTTATAACTCTACAACCATAGGGTCGCAGTCTGACATTTATATCAAATATTTATTAACGCCTTGCACTGTCAGTAAGTGGCCTCTTTTTGATAAGTTTACGAACTTTTTCAATAATTCACCGAACTCGAAATTCAAAATTCATTTGGTTTATGGGGAATATGATTTTATGAATTCCGAAGCAGGGTTAAAATTAACCGAGCAAATTAATCGTCTATGCGAAGATCAAATTGCAGATTTTCATAAAATTCCACAGGGTGGGCATAACATGTACCTAGACAATCCATTTGATACCAACAAAACAATTGAAAATATCATTCAAAAGCAAGATAATCTTTAGAATATAAACCAAATTAGATTATTATTATTTATTTATTTATTATACTTTAGAACTCTCACTATTATGCCTTAACTACATTTTTCAAGTAGACCAAAAATCTGGATATACGTTGGAAGCCCGTAACACCTTATGCCTTAATTAGCATTTTTATTGCCTATTCAATTCCAAGTTTTATACTTCTTCCGTATTTGTGCATGGAAACATTCTAGAGAAGACTTTTCAAGTCCTGCTTCTTGTGGGTGAAATGATCTTTTACCGTATTAGGAAGGTTGCTTGCGACATAATTAAATATCCTCATTAGGGAATTATTGGCATAGAAGTTCGTACTTGCTAAAGCTTAATATTAATGACAGAATACACGGCAAAGAAATTAGGTATATATATCTGAAGCAAGATCCTATTGAATGAAATTAAACTTTCGTTATGCTGAATAAAATGAAGTGGTTGATATTTATATATGCAATAGTAATATTGACTATTGGTGCGCATGCTAAATCACCAAGTGGCGGGTATGCACCTGGCCATGTCAAATGCCCGAGTAAGAAAAACTTATTAAGAGAAGCCAAATCGATATCTAGTGATGAAAACAAATGGCTCAAAGAAAGACAAAAGAAGACGAATCAAGCATTAATAAATTATTTAGATAATGCGAATTTAACCGATTTTGATGCTAAAGAATTTTTCGAAAAGAATACGTCGCTGAGTGTTAACATTGGTTTGGCATTTTCAGGTGGAGGATACAGGGCAATGTTAGTTGGTGCTGGTCAGTTGGCTGCATTAGATAACAGGACGGAAAATGCGGACTCGGAAGGCCTTGGTGGAATACTACAAAGTTCTTCATATATTAGTGCCTTGTCAGGAGGTGCTTGGCTAGTAGGCTCATTAGCGATGCAAGAGTGGCCTTCGGTCCAAGATGTCGTAATGCATAACCCAAATGATCTTTGGAATTTGACTATCACTAGACAACTTGTTAATCAAACTAGTATATTCGGACTTGGTATACCCTTATTAACTGCAAATTTGAGTGAGGCATTGACTCATTTAAACCATTGGCAAGATGCAGATGGTAAAGGAATTGGATATGATTTAAAATCAAAAAATGAAGCAGGATTCAACACCACATTGACAGATGCTTGGGCGAGAGCACTAGCCTATCAGTTATCTACTGAAGGTAAAGATGAATATGGGTCATCTGCAACCTTTTCTGATATTAGGAATAAGAAGAGCTTTGCAAACCATGAAATGCCATTCCCTATTTTGAATGCTCTTGCAAGACAACCAGATTCTATTGTATATGATGAAAATTCTACTATCATTGAATTTAATCCATACGAAATGGGATCTTTTGATTCATCTGTAAATTCATTTATTGACATCAAGTATCTTGGTACTAACGTCAGAAATGGAGTTCCGGTAAATGGTACATGTGTTGAAGGCTTCGATAATGCAGGTTATATTATTGGTACTTCATCCTCATTATTCAATCAATTCTTAAATACCTTAGCCTGTGATGACTGTACGACTTTAAATTTTCTTTTGAAACCAATAGTCAAAAGAGTATTGACTAAGTTATCTAGGTCCTACGAAGACGTTGCACTTTACAAACCAAACCCATTCCGTAATTCTGAATACGCAACTCCAGGGAAGCTTGTGAAAAATGAATCTCTCTACCTCATTGATGGTGGGTTGGGTGGACAAACTATCCCATTAGCAACCATGATGACAAAAGAAAGAGCTATGGACACGGTATTTGCATTTGATAACGATGCATGGTCAAATGGATCATCCTTGGTGGCAACATATGCAAGACAATTTTCAGAGCACGGTAAGTCTCAGATTTGTCCTTATGTTCCTGACGAGCAAAACTTTTTATATCAAAATTTAACAGCCAGACCAACATTCTTCGGTTGTGATGCTTCCAACTTGACGGATTTGGTAAAGGATGGCGTAGTGCCTCCAGTAGTCATCTACATAGCTAACAGACCTTTTGAGTACATGACGAACACTTCAACATTTAAAATGACATACACTGATAAAGAAAAGAAAGCTATGATCCAGAATGGATTTGATACTGCAACCAGGGCCAATATGACCCTTGATGAAGAATGGGCAGCATGTGTCGGATGCGCAGTTATCAGACGTGAACAAGAAAGAAGAGGTATAGAACAATCCGACCAATGTAAAAAGTGCTTTAAAAACTACTGTTGGAATGGAGACAGAGTAATTTTTGATCGCACATACTACACTCCTTTCAACTTTACCATGACCGGAAAAACAAATAAAAGTATGGATGTGGACACACTCCGTGATCCTTATTTATTGACCGGTGTATCCTCTCTTTTAAAGAAAAGAGATATAAATGAAGTCTCCATGCATCTTTCGACAGAGGATGACGACGATTATACTGAAAAAATTGTGCCTATAATAAACCCTTGATTATATTTTGGTCCTACTCAGCATACTAAATTTACTAGAAAACATAAATTTAAATAAAATTTTCATAACATTTCATCTTCTTATACCACAATCAATCTTTATTCAGCTTCTATTAGTTAGGTCTACAGGAATAATCTATAGCTGCAAATTACATACTGACCAATTATATGGCCATGATATAAGCAAAGTCATCTCGATTATGTAATCTGGGACAAGAACACAAAACCTTTTCTTTTTATCACGGATCCGAAGCCAGTCATTATTAATAATAGCTATATAAGAATATAAAATTAGTCTGTGACAGAATTAAATCTTCATAAATTAGATTAGATTAATCAAATATGTTTAGAGTGAAGACATTTACAATTCCAAGTTTGTTTTCGAGGAGGTTCTTGTCATTTAAGACATTGGAAACCCCAAACCCCAATGCTTTGAAGTTTGTTTCTCCAGAATGCCAAATTTTGCCAATTCCAAGTAAGACATTTGAGTTTACATCCACTTTACAAGCAATCCATTCACCTTTAGCGTTAAAGCTTTTCAAATTACCTGGTGTTAGATCTGTTATGTTGGGAGAGGATTTCTTGACTGTGAATAAACAGGACCATATTAACTGGGCTCAATTGAGACCCGAGGTAGTGGATTTACTTGATGTATTTTTGACTTCGAAGAAGGATCCGGTAGTTACTAAAGAGCTTATAGAGGAGAGCGAGAAAGAAATAGAGAGCAGTGAAGATGATCTGGAGGTCGTTGCTATGATTAAGGAGTTGATTGAAACTAGGATAAGACCTGCTATACAGGATGACGGTGGAGATATCGAATTTAAAGGATTTGATGAAGAAACGGGTAACGTGTTTTTGAAATTGCAGGGTGCTTGTAAGTCATGCTCCTCAAGTGAAGATACTTTAAAGAATGGAATTGAACAAATGATGAAACATTATATTGATGGTGTTCAAGAAGTGATACAAATTCTTGACCCCGAAGAAGAGATTGCACTTAAAGAGTTTGACAGATTAGAGCAAAAGATAAAACAGAAGAGCCAAGACTCTCCTCCTCCTTCCTTATAAGAGTCCAACTACAAACATTATTCAAACAATACTTCATTAGCATAATTCATTATATTTCAAGTAATCATCCAATAAGTAATAATATGATTATACATCTATACGTCTAGAATTTTTAATGCCTTGTAGAATTTCGTATTTGATATCGAGTATATTACGCTCATCATAGTAGCGGGAGTTTAATTCTTTAAGAAGACCGTCCTCGACACAGTCTTTACTAATGCATACTCTCAAGTCCTCGTATAATCCTTGTAACCACGTATAAGTAAATTTTTCCCATTGTTTTGATACTTGGTTGAACCCAACAACCCATCCTAACATTGCAATAGCGATAGCACTGCTAGATGTAAATTCAAAGTACTGGTATGCTAGAAATGACAAAATTGAAAGGGGTAATTGGTAGTATACAAATGCAAGACTTATGCTGGAATAAACAACTGGTTGAATTTCAGTCATTAATCTTTCATTCACAAGATCATTCTTCATTTTCAATAACGGGTTTGTAATTTCAGTATTGTTTGGGTATTTGGCATACTCATGTTGTTGCATTTGGGATACAAGTTTTCCTCGGATGTAATTGTAACCCTCTATACTTGAAGTCATGAAATTTTCATTGAAAAAGTCCTTGAGGTCATATTCAACATTGTCATTTTTCAAATATAATTTCCACCATCTTAACTTCTTTTTGAAAAATGCATTCGTTCTAGGTATAAGTTTATTTTGCAATTCTGAATGAACGGAATCACTGAATTGTGGGATCACATTTGATTTAATTGATGAATACACTTCAGTAATAGAATCTGGTGTAATACTATACTTTGAGATATTAGTACTGATACTGTTTAGTAACCACATACATAATACTTCTGTTTGCAGGAATTTTCCTATGCATTTTAATAATTCATATATGTTACTGTGAATCAAAGACTGGAAGTATTGCGTGGAAACTTTGGTATCATACTCGAGAAATTCCTTAATTCCATTGAAACTCAAATTTGAATTTATCTTTATTATATGCTGGCTGTTTTCAGCTGTTATATTTACTGAGATAGGTGTGGCCTCTGTTGAGCTAGGCGAATATTCCGTATTATCAACGACTGTCAACAATATGTGGTTCTGTAACGACTTTGAGTATCCTTGAATTGTATTTGTAAAGTTACTGGTAACATTGATATAGAAATGACAAAGTTTAGGATTGTCTACCAATTTTGTTTTATCGTTAATTTCCCATAATTCTATATCGTTTGATACGTCCTCATTTGATGCTTTCATGTACGTTGGTCTAAACATAGAATTCAAAATCGGTGATGGAACTTTGAACTCTTCTTGTATATCTTGACTGTGCGTAACTGGCTCACCTTCCGATCCAAATTTAAATTTGTTATTATGTTCACGAGACCTTTCGACAATCTTGGTAAACCAAGATTCATTACCTGAAGATAATGGATCAGAAAGTATACTATCAATGATTTTAGATTCCCTTGCTACTATCTCATCTTCATATATAATACCAATCCTGATCACTTGCTTTTGGTTTAGCCCATTTATCTCTTCAAAAGTATCAATTTGTGAATTTGTTATTACATCTTTCAGGAACAAAGCTTTATATTTATTTAAGTAGCTAGTCACATCTTGGGTATCTGGTATCTCTGACTTATATAACATATTCTCTTGTTCAACTTCTGTTTCTGATCCAATCTTGTTAGCAGGTGTGATTGCAATGGTAGAGTTTAATCTACCACTATTTTTAATGCAGCAAATCCCACTGCATGTCCAGATGTTTTCAAATTACGAAATCCGGAGTGTAAAATCTTTAACAGACTCCGTTTCAATATCATATTTCGTTGTCGTTATAATGCAATGCCGATGTAGACTTAACTGCAATTGTTTACTATAGGACAATTTTCATGGCGGACTAATGGAACACGTGACAAAATAACTACTGGCCTGGAAGTCTTGCCTGGAAGCTTGCCTAGAAAAGGTTTCAGTATAGCTGCAATTGTTGTAATGATAAGTAAGACCAATGCATATGTTTGCAAATTTGCAAAAGTCAATTAATGTACGAGCCAATTTACATTTTATTAATGAAAATGAAATAAAAGCGTACATAATAGCCAGGATTTTTCAGTACAAATACATACATTAGACAGCAAGTAATTAAAAAGCTAGAAAATATGGATTTATGTTCAATACTGCCTTGGATTGTAGGATCCATATAGTCTAAACAACACATCTTTCTTAGTCTTGATAATGTAGGTTGGTTGTATAGTTTAATTGCTATCTAGACAGCTGCGAAACATTTTATGTGGAGATAATACATACATTGGAGTTATTGGCATACCACAACATGAAATTCAATAGAATTTAGAAGAAAGAAGGTTGGTTCCCGCTCCCTATTAGCGGTATATTGAATGATATGACAGATAGAATATTGATTTATTATGGGTCCTTGGTGCCTTGTTGATTGGGAAATGACCTACATATAATCTTGAAAGCTGGAAAAATCGTACTGAAAGTAAATCCGTAATGTTATCACATACCTTAGATTTATTTTAGGCACATAAGCTAGATAACAATATAGGAATTGAAGTACGAGAAAAATGACTGGCAATGATATATTCCGATCAAAAATTTATAGAGTCAGCCAGGTGATAAAGAAATATGCATCGTTTATTGGGCCAGGAATTATGGTCTCTGTTGCATACATGGACCCAGGGAATTATTCGACAGCGGTTTCATCAGGAGCAATGTACCAATATAAGTTGTTGTTCATAGTATTTATGTCAAACTTGTTTGCGGTGGTTTTGCAATGTTTGTGTGTGAAATTGGGAACGGTGACGGGTCTTGATCTTGCAGAAATGTGTCGTATGAACTTGCCATATACTGTGAATTTGTCATTATACGCGTGTGCAGAGTTAGCTATCATCGCTACCGATTTAGCAGAGGTCGTAGGAACAGCGATTGCGTTAGAAATTTTGTTCAATATTCCATTGGTATATGGGGTTCTTATTACTATAATTGACGTGTTGATTGTGTTGATGGCATATCATAAAGATGGTACCATGAGACAAACCCGTGTTTTCGAAATTATGGTGACTATTTTGGTTTTAGCCACCTGCTTGTGTTTTATTTTAGAATTATTTAAGTGTGATTTCGACGATGGTGCCGTCAGCTCTATATTCAAAGGATTTTTGCCCATAAATAGGGAAATTTTCAAAGAACTGAATGCCCTTTTCTTGAGTTGTGGAATAGTCGGAAGCACTGTGATGCCACATTCATTATTTTTGGGCTCTGCATTGGTGCAATCAAGACTCAAGGAATACGATATTAAAAATGGAATCCATATTGAGCAAGATGAGGAAGATGAAGAATTGATAGAGGAACAACCAGTGCTTCCTGCTACTACAAACAAATTTAGAAGCATATCGGATGGTAGTAGCTTGGCTGGGAAATATAGACCATCATACCGTGCTATTCAATACTGTCTAAACTATTCTTATATAGAATTGGTATTATCGCTCTTTTTGATTGCTGTTTTCGTCAACTCTGCAATCTTGATTGTTGCTGGTAGCACCTTATATGGTAAACCAGATGCTGAAGATGCAGACTTGTTATCCATATATGAGATGTTATCATACTACATATCGCCAGCGGCAGGTTTGATATTTGCTTTATCTATGTTGTTTGCAGGTCAGAGTGCAGGTATTGTGTGCACTATGGCAGGTCAAATTATTTCAGAAGGTTTCATTAACTGGACAATTAAACCGTGGATTAGACGTATAATAACCCGTATTCTAGCCATAATTCCTGTGTTGGTCGTTATTATTATATTGGGACGTGAAGGGGTTTCTAAGATAATGAACTCATCACAAGTTGTGTTGAGTTTTATTCTACCAGTTGTTAGTGCTCCTTTGATTTGGTTCACCTGTAAAAAGGAATTTATGGTTGTTTATGACACAAGTGATCTGAATCAAACTGCTAACGAAAATACTGGCCTTTTGAATGCCGATGAGCTGTATACACAATCTGTACATGTTAAGAAGGTAACATTTGAGAATGGTCATTTCTTGACTATTGCTGCAAGCTTAACATGGATAATTATCACATTTTTGAATATCTACTTGATTTATGCATTTGCAAACGGTGCAGACATATAGGTTATGTAAAAGGTTTTTATATAAATGTATATTTATTAGCTAAACAATTGATCTAAATTACAGTTTAAGATAATGAAGTAGATAAAATATTTATAATAAACTTCAATGTCTGTTCTTCTTTTTGTATGGTCCTCTAATACTAGGCAACCTTGTAGATTTACCGGTAGTGCCGACAGATTTGGATGGTGGAAGTCCTGGTAGAGTACCAGCATATTCACTCATTAATACTGGTAATCTCTTACTGAAGCTAAGGTCAAGGCTTCCAGTATTAACATTATTTAATTCAATTGATAGCGTAATAAGTTTTGAAACTTTATTATATAATTTGATTTCGTTTTTGGAGGGTGCCAACAAGTTTGTTGGATTACTACGTAAGTATCTTTCTTGGCGTAATTTATTTAACTTTAATAAGTTGGTAGAAATGAGCTTTTGCAAATCACGGGGAGATTTGGTTATAGTTTCCTTGTCTTCTTTTATAGATTCTAATTCTTCGATTTTCGAAGGATCCCATTGAACCAAATCGGCAACATTAATTTCTTTACGTTCCAAGGAATCAGCATCTTTATCATTGGAATCTTTCATTTCAATATCACCTTTATCACCACTGACTGTGGGTTTTACATCATCTTCGTTGTTTTTATCCTCGCCATCTGGAACGACATCAACATCCATACCTGTATTGTTATTAATGTTCTCAAGATATTTCTTTTTTATATCATGTATTTGTTGAAAGCCAAGATGATTCAACCAAATATTTCCTTTCAATTCTGTTGACACAACAGAGACTTTCAGATCCACTGTTGGAGCAAAAGACATCACAGAACCATCATTCCTAGTTACTAGACGTAATTCATCTTCACGTTGATTCTTCAATAGACTGGATGCAACTTGTGGCTTTAAAGTCTTACTTTTATACGTAAGCCAAGTTGGAACGTGGATTGTGTACCAATTTGGATGGAAGAAGTTGGATAATATTTCAGTATGTTGAGTTGTAGGTGGTGGAATCTTGGAAATTGAAGGTGATAATGATTCTAATGTGGAGTTATTACGTGTGGCATTTCTATTCAAAGGAATAACCTTTGAAAGGAGAAATGGATCTGGTACAATAGTAGAACGAGGGTCCAAATTTGATTTACCTGTCAACGATGAAAATAAGGGTTGCTTGATTTGATGAGGTGGTTGTTGTGGTTGAGGATAGGGACTATGATAGGCATTTGGGAGGGTTGATATCGAATTAGATGGTTCTTCAGATTTATAAATAAACGTTATCACTTCACCATTTGTCAAGTTATAGCTCATAGAAATTTTATTAAAGTCTTCTGATAATTGGGTCTCTAACTCAGAAGGCTCCAGTACATCATCCTCTTCTTTCTTTGTGTGGAAAAGTGCAAGACTTAATCTACTAGATTCTCTTAAAAATAATTCGGTAGTAAATTTGTAGAAAAAATCAATATCCTTATATTTAGCTGATCCAACCTTATGCTTTTGAATTCTAGACGAAGCTACTACCTTGATATCATGATACAATTCGTAAAGTGTGCTATATTGTTTACGATCATATTTTTCAGAAATACTAGTTGTTTTAGGCGAGCTATTGTCTTTCATATATTCAACATACGAAGGAACAATATTATTTGCATCTGGCTCATAGAAATCTACTGGAAGCGTAGTCTCGGTCAATAGTTGCGTCTCCTGATCTGCTTTTTGGAACACTATAAAAATATCGTCAAGAAGAGTCTTGAACAAATCTGATGCAATTTGTTAGTTTATTTATCCATTTGAATAATTTTTTTTATTATTATTGAATATTATACATACTTGTATCCTTTTCACTCATACTATAGTTCTTGATCAACCTAATGTCCTTACTAACTTTTCACTGAATGCCTTATACACTAGCTTCAACGATTGTTTGTTACTTCAATTTTTTCAAATCGCGCTTAGGGAGAATTGAGTAACACACGCTGTATACATTATAGCTGGTAAAGTGATAACGAAAGATTCTTATTCTGATAGGTAGGTGAGTAACGACATGGTACAAAGAAATGAATGAATGATACAGTAATAAAGTGAATGTTTTGATGTAATATAAATTGAAAAAACAACCAATAAATTTATTGATTAGTAGCCATAATTATTGCCAAATTCTCATTATTTCTACCGCATGCATCAGCTACATTAACTGCTATTTACTCATTAAGAGTTCTTTATTTAACTTTCTATTAAATTGAATGTCAGGGTATATACTACAATAAATACATCTTACAAGTACATTAAATAGAACTCCAATTAAAATGATCGTTATGTAAACGAAAACTTATGCATAATATTCAATCTTCTATAGATTCTTCAACATCTAAATATGTTTCATTCATTAAACCCGCGTTCATCAAAATCTTATCCCAATCACTATTAAAAACCACTATGGTCTCGCTTAGGCCAATTAGAATCATTCCACTACCTAGACCTAACCACAAACCAAGTAGTTTTAAATCTGCAACTCTGCTGAGGACAATAGCTAATGGTATCGCAAAAGCATAGTAAACAAAGAAATTGATTATACCACCTATTTTTTGCAGACCTTGCGCCCTTAATACACCATTTGCGACAGAAGCGATGCCATCAAATATTTCTAGAACGGCAACTAATGGATTGAATAAGGCGACAATTAATTCCGTGACTCCCTCATCTTTCGTAAACAACTTTGCAATTTGTCGTTTAAAAGTAAACAAAATTAGGAAATTAATATTTCCTGCGATTACGGATAATGCCAAACTACTTTTCGTAGCCATTTTCGCCGATGCCATATTCTGGCCTCCTATGAAATTAGCGATACGCGTAGATGCAGCAATACTTATAGCAAATGGGACCATGTAAGATAAAGATGCAATACTCAGTACCGCACTCTGTGCTGCTAATTCGGTGGTACCAAAATAGGAAGCAAATAATGTCATAATTTCGTACGCCATATATTCTGATTCAATCATGACGATTCCTGGAATTGCCAAGTGTGAAAGACTTCCCCATTGTTGGAATAGTTCTTTTATCGGTGCGATTCCATACCAACATTTATCACCATCAACAAACATAACATACATAACCAATAGTATATCGATAAACCAAAAGTTGATAACAGTGGCAATTGGTGCACCAATGAATCCTAAACCAAAATTTTTATTCCAGACAAGGAATGTTGACAATAGTACATTAATTGGTAGACTGATAACTAAAATACCTGTTCCTGCTTCAAAAATTCCTTGAGCTTGTAAAAACCGTTTACTGTTTTCAAAGATAATATAGGCCGGAGCCCCAAGTATTAAAATCCTCAAAAATGAACTTGTCAAATATAAAACTTCTTCGCTATCAATAATAAACTTCAAGACATTTGCGGAATACCACCATAAGAACCCACAAGGAATGTATACCACAAATGAGAACATTATACATCTCTGAACATGAATACCTACTAATTCGTAATTACCAGCTCCATACGCTTGAGGACATAATGTATCTAATGCTGTTGCAATACCTTCAAAAATCGCAAAGGTAATAGTGGAGGACATTGTAGCTAGCGAAACAGCAGCTAGTTCGTTTTTACCTATATGACCTACCACTAGTAAACAGACTATCGAGAAAAAATGTTCCAAGAGAAAGGTTATAACCAAAGGAAAAGCGTATCGCACCAACATCTTCATTTCAATACTGAAAGTAGTATGCAAATTGGCAAAGTCTTCTAGCTCGTTGTATGTCAGTTTTCCGGATACTTGCGAGCTACGGGAAGATGAATTTAACAGACTACCGGACCTCCCACTGCCCCTACTTCGATTATCTTCATTATAATCATCATCTTCTGAGTTTGCTGCCGAGTATCTTCTTTGATGTTCTTCTAATAACCAACTATGGAACGACTCTTGATCTTCGTTTGTAGATTTTAATGTAGATGGTAATGATCTCGATGTACTAACACTGGCAGCATCACTAACATCATTTTCATGCTGTGTAAGAACTGAACCACTTTCTCCTAAAGACAAAAACGATCTTTGATCATCGCCTTCACCATAACTGAATAAGGGACGGTTAGTTGAAGGTGGAATGAACAATCTTCTTCTTCTACCTCCTACTGGTAACCCGAGACCACCATTTGGGTTAGCATATCTATTTATAGTTCGGAACAACACCATTCTGAAATGCTATGTTTAAAATGCTATTATATGCTGATATAGAAGAAAAATATAAACCTTTAGTAGTTTTTAGATAGTTATTTGATAGTTTTTCAAAATTTAGATGCTAAAACAGTTAGAAGAAAATGAGCCAAGATACGAGCAAAAGAAAATAAATGACACAAAATCAATATCTATATACATTGGAAACCTTCACTTATAATGATCAAGTTTATCAGCTAGACTATAATTCAGTTGTTTTATTGGTAATAATTACATAGATTAAAAAATAAAATAGGATGGTGATTTATTAAATGGCCATCCACGCAGAACCACCCAATACAATCCCTAACACAACAGCAGTCAATACACCAGCACCAGCTTTATCCTTTGTTGAAATATTCAAGACGTTCTTGTTAACTTCATCTTCAGTATTTGTTCCTGCTGTTGGATCACTCTTTGAACTTCCTCCATTATTTTTGGTATATACTGTGAAGTCTCCGACAATTGTAGCAAGCATTACTTCTAATGCAGACATTTGTTCACCTAAGCCATATATTCCATCCCAACCAGAATGCGTCCAGTCTTCACCACATGTAACACCGTCAGAACCACCAGAGCACGATTGAGCTGCAGCCTCTGCACTTTTTTCAAGTTTGTCTTGAAGTAACGAAACAGTGTCCGGAGCCAAAACAGTAGTAATTCCAAGACAACGTGCAAATAATGAATGGAATGATCTTTGATCGTTATTACAATGATCAGGCATACATGTAGTCTCGTACATAATATCGTTCTTGAAAAAATAGTTGTTGGCAGCCTCAATAATTTCATGAGTCCTGTCTAACCAAACACTATCTTCAGTATAGTTGTACATGTACGCACATCCAGCAATAAATATACCGTATGTATAAGACCATTTTTTATCGGTTACATCAGTACAGTTATCACCAATCTTTGCCCCATCATGGAGAACCAATTCATCTCCATCTGAGGTCATGAATCCAACATCTTCCATCCAATCCCATACTTTTTCTGCAACTTTCGCATACGACTCATTTCTGGTATATCTAGCTAAACGAGCAGCAATATTAAAGAGACACCCATTGGCAATAGAATTTTTATAATCGTAACCCGAGTTCCAGGTGAAAATCTGCCATCTCAAACCACCTCCACAATGCGATGTGTCCCATCTAGCCTCCATAGTGTTGAAAATGGCCTGTGTCATTGATAGCCAACTATGTTCCGTTGGATCGGTAAAATTTCTTTCAACTGCCTCCATAACAGCCAAACCCCAAACACCTTGATCATCATTACCTTCCACCATAGATTGGTTCGATGGAATATAATTATATGATTCACCAGCCTGATGATACATACCTTCATATATCAAACTTTTCAATGTTTTGTTATCACTTTCGCAAAATGTGTAGTAGTCCAACAACCCTCCAAATGCTTCACCAGCATTCCACCAATAATTTGGACTTGCAAACTCCCCTACTGTACCTCCATACTTGATACCTTCGTAATAATTAAGTTCCCCTTGAACGACATATTTTGCTGCTTCACACACAGAATCTTTATCTCCCGCAGTTAAATTAAGCGCTGTCGTAATTGAGATATATAATGACAAAATAACTATACTCAACATTCTATTCTGGAATGTGAATCTCATATTTGCTTAATTGATGTAAAAATTGTATTTGTTCTCAACTTCTAAATATAGGTGATCCACTCCGTATGCTCAATAAAATTAATCAGATAATTGATCTGTGATAACGAATTGTATTTGAAATAACAAACTATATCCAGCAATACCAATATTTTGTAATAGTTATATTACTATTGTAATTCTGTTGTTATTACTGTCAATTTCTACTACTACTAAGAAGATCAACATTAAACAATGCCTCGATTTTAAGGCTATGAAATTATATACAGTATTATCAAATGGTCTAAAAATACCAAGAATGCAAAAATATCTACAGCTGTCAGCCATAGGCAGTAGGCTTTGATAAGTGAGATGTGGAAAGCGTATATAGATGATGGAAGAGCCTATCTGATGGTTTAAAGGAGAAAAAGGTATAAATTGAGGTTGAAAATTTTCAATCGTGCAACCCAAATATGGTTAATAGTTGGGCTAAATTTCTAAGAACTACTCTATTGTTAGCAATTATCTTCAATTCAGAGCTGTCCACACCCTCATCCGAATTTTCAGCGAAACATGACTTGATCATTGGTCTTTGAGGAGAATGAGAATTAATAAGGAATTGGCTAGTGTTTTCTCTGTCTAGTAAAACTGCGTTCCAACCAGATCTAATTGGGCCGAGAAAGTCTTTATCTTGACTATCGCCTACATGCCAGCAGTTTTCCAAATAAAGCTGTTTGTCAACATCATTAGGGTTATGTAGATTCGAGGCCAAAAATCGTTCGTACACGGAATCGAAGAACTTCTTATCGGGCTTAGAAGCATCGAGGTCATAGGAAAGATATATTTGGTCCTTGGCAAAGAAATCCATGAGGCCCAAGTTCTTTAGGATCTGCATTACACGGAGATCGGAATTACTTGAAACGATGAGATTAATATTGTTTTCTCTTAACTTTGTTAACGTAGGAACCACGTCATCGTATACCATATAAGCTTCGGGTCCAGTAAAATAGGATAAGAGTCTTTTGCATAATTGGGCTGATAATTCATCCTTTGTATAATGAGGTATATCGAATAACTTAACAATAATCTCCAGCCACCATATATCACAGTCTCCAATGTCTGAAGATCTTTTGCCGTAATTAGGATATCTCTCATATATCTCGGAGTATATTTTTGGAAATTCCTTCTCAATTGACTCTAGTGATTTATTTATTCCAAATTCCTCCTGTGCAACTGCATGATATTGATGAGAAATTGGTGCTTTTGGTGTATATAATGTTCCGAATACATCAAAGGAAATGAAATGTGGTTTAGGAAATTGTTTGTTGGAACCTCTAACCTTTTTTTTGTGGTCATGGAACGGGTCGGATAAGAGTGGATCACTCTTGGAATGCACGGTTCTTTGGAATGACATTAAGGACCTTGAAAGTCTAACTGTTTTGCTACTTGTGGTAATCATACTAGTTACCAGAAGTTAAGAATTGATGAATAAAGAGATTTTTACCATAAGAAATCACTCTACCATAACTTCAATCATTATCAACATATTTGTAGCACTGTCGCATTATCGGCCCTCTTCTCCAGATTCGTAATAAGCACATATCATAGCAGAGTTATTCTACACTATACAATACCCACCAATTATATACTACATAGTAAATTAAGCAATAATAAATATAGTTCTATTCTCTCTATAAATGGCACGCTTTGGAAATAGCACCATGTGAATCATAAATCTACAAACTGGAAGCAATTAGGACTCAATTCAAAGTTATAATTACAATCCCGAGTAGAAAGACTTTCGTCTTCAACTTTATTTGAGCTAGAAGTATCTGAATTAGATTCAGTGATATATCTAACCCAAGGAAAGCATGTATATTTCATTTGTTCCTCTGCAACTTTCAAGTATGTTAATTTAAGACCAGAATAAGACAACATTGGAATATTGAAAGAGCATTTTACATGATTGAAGCCTTGTGAAAATTTAATCAGATTTTGAATTTTCTTAGCCAGAGATGATACTGCACCATTAACACCATAATATCTATCAAGTTCTGCCTTAGATTCGTTCTCATCCTCCAGGCCATCCATGGAACCAGATTGCTTCATATATTTATTATTTAATGAATCCTGCACCGCCTTCAGTGTTAATGAATCATTATCTTTTGAAGACAAGGCCAATTCAGCCATCATTTTAATCGCATCCATTTTCCCATTCACATTATCAATTTGCCAAAATAATTCAGATGAATCTATCTTATAACTAACATCACCAATTTCGGCTTTAAATTTCATGCCATATTTAAATTCATTAGCCTCGTGGTCAAGCCTAATTAGATGTGGATTTATAGGAATTTTAATTGTTAAATTACGACAATGTAATCTTTTCTTGAAGTTGGTAGATAGAATACACATAATTTGTAATTTGTTAGATGACTTGATAATCCGATATGTCGGTTTTACCATAATTAGCGGAAGCTTTCGTTTTTGTTTTTGTTGTTCGACATGGTAAGTCATGAGTATGAATTTGTCGTCCGGAGGAATGAAATTAATGATATTATCTTTGTAGACACTTGCTAGCTCTATACACTGATGAAATTGTATATTTCGTATTGGGATCTTATGATTTCTCTTCATTCTTTTTGAACTTTTTTCAACTGAAGTATTTACACTATCAATATCACTCGTAGTTTTAGTCTCCACCTCACCAAGCTCACCCGTTGATATGATTCCAAGAGCATCATCTTCAATCCCATCCTCGCTTACATTTTCATCGTCTCCATCATCTTCCAAGTTAATATCCTTTACTTCTAATTGGTTATCAGACCTAGCCGCATCTTCACTATGCGAGTTATTGTATGACAGATAATCATCTTCATTATCTATTCCAGAAATATATTTTTCATTAAATCCCAACTTGCAAACAGGCATTCCTGAAAGATAACATTTAACTAAGCATCTTCCGTAAACTTCATTCCTCTTGATAGAATTTGTGGCTAGACTGAATAGAAACTCGCAATTTTCAATTATATCAATATAAATCTCATTTTTAGCATAAAAAATACCCTTGGGCCTCCAACTAATTGCCAGTGACGTTGTTCTTAATACAGAGCTATTCACATACGATGCTTCAGGATCTATGATATCAGCATTTACTGCTTGATTATGGGTTGATTTGACTTTCTTTATTTTATCCTTAGCTTGTTTACGCTTTGTATCTGACTTATCACCTATTTCCTTATCTGAATCAGACGAATAGTCATTTCTATTCTCTCCATAATGACCCAATTTAGGAAGATTTGCTTCAACCTTAATATATTCTCGAAGTATTTTATAATCTGTCACCTGGACAATTCCAAAATCCATACACTCGTCTAACAATTCAAATATTAACGTAGAACTATCTATTATAGCTTCCTTACTTAACTTAGACCCAATCATTGACTCTTTTTGGTCGTTCTTCTGTGTCTTAGCCATATCACATATATAATGAAATAGAATTCCATAAAAATTATGCAAAAATACAACTGTCAGCATTGCATTGATATTTTTCTTCGTTACTGCTATCAACAAAATGTCATTATCACCTCTCATATACACATAATTTATGCCCCTACTATGGATAAATGGCGTTCTCTCTTCTGGTAATAAGTTCTTAAATGCATTTTCAAAGTTTTGCAAAACTAGGGTTTGATCCGGTAAATTATTATTATATCTTCGATGCAACAACAACTCACTTCTCAGGTATTCTAAATGAGTTTCCGGCCAGTGAACTATGTATAACGAATACACCACCATCTGACACTTAACCCAGTATTTATCTTAATTGAAAGTAAATATGGAGACGATTTTAAACGTTTAAAGTATGAATGCGACATATCAAATGCAAAATAGGAGCGACATTCCAAGAGATAATGGAAAGAAGAAGTACCACCTTTGGAGATAGAAATTAGAAGTTGAATATATATATGATGAGTTCTAAAAATGTAAAGAAGGCAGCAATTATAGGTGCTAAACAATTGGAAGAGCAAATTTCACGATTAAATTATGGAAGCCAGAAAAACCATTGGAAAATCAAGACCAGCTTAGCTGCAGATGGATCAGTTGAAAATCGTCTTGAAGTAGATTATAAGTTTAAATCATTTGCTAAAACCTGGAGTTTTTTGAACCTGGTTGCATACCATGCTGATAATTCCAAGCATCATCCATCCATAGATACAACGTACAACAAAGTGAAAATTAAGTTAACTACTCATGATGCAGGGAACAGAGTAACATACAATGATTTAAAATTTGCCCAATTTGTAAAAAATGAATTTGAACAAGAATTTGAAAGGCCCCAGAATGTGGTGAAGATGGACAAGCTACTCAAGGATGCCAGAGGTCAATTTTCTTTCTCACAGGCATCTCAAATTATTGATGACTTAGTAGCTTCCAATAAATCTACTGATTCAAAGCCCACGAAAGAAGACTCTTCCAAGAATAAATAAATATGAAGATGATATTTAATAGAAATTGTGCCAACAACGATAAAATAGGTTGAGTTGGCTTCTCAAGAGAAAATTTCCGCCGTTAATCCAGTTCGGAATTTCAGATCTTAATTATTTCATAGAGATACTAGAGTAATCGACCAATCGTTTTTCTCTAGATGTAAATAGAAAGCTTCTTCTCCAGTGAAGTCCTAGGCTTACAAATACAATGCTTCAACTATATTACAATTTTAAATCTAAATATCTAAATTAGTATAATGAATTTTTAATAATTCACATCTCTTTTAGCTACACAATAAGCATCATGAACTTCAATCGCTTCATATGTACCTTCGAGGCTTACCATGTCAGTGTACTCGTAATCCCATATATCATCAATAGTCTTTGTTTCGACAATAACCTTATTGTGTTTATCTTTGCGGCCTGTTTTCTTATGTTTATACTTTGGATCAACCTGTTCCAGAGTTCTCGTATAGATGAGCTTGAAAGGGGGTACACCAGAAAAACTAAATTTGATCTCTGTTTGCTCTCCTTCATGAATGTCTTGCACAACGTAACTTCCTTGGTTTATCTCGACAGATGGAAGTTCATATACCTTCAACTTTAAATCCTCGAACTTCTCCTGTGAGTTTGTAAAGTTAACTAAACATTTATTTGCAGATGAATCCAGTAAGGCTTCGATAGAAAGCTCACCTGCTTTGGAAGCTAACCTTTGGAACCTATTTCCCAGCTCGGCTTTTTGCAACTTGTCATTAAATCTATAATAGACCATAAATGGGGGGATACCAGACATATTATATAGAATGTGATCCCCTACACAATAATGTGGTCTCTTTTGTATCTTAGAGATATTTGGAACTTCTGTGATAGAAATAACATAATTATTCAATTGAGAAAATTCCTTCTCAGTACAGCCATTTGCATCGGTCAACTCGTTTATTGTTAACGTATGTTCTCCAACATTCATTGCTTCATACAAAAAATAATCCTTTCCACTAATTTTAGCTTCACCCAAATTCAATTGTGGATCAACTATATTATCTAAGATAAATGTCTCAGTTTCTCCTGTAGCTTCATGTTTTAGAGAAGCATTAATCTTAAAAGGATATTCACCCACAAAGCTAATAGGAATCTTTGAAAATGGTTCATCAAGTCTTAAGTTAGTCTCACAAACTTGAAGAAATTGATCTTTTTCAAAAGTTGCCTTAGGAGATGGGTTGATATCGTATCTGACACAAGGCAATATATCATCCTTCTTTGAAATCCTTGACACCTTCTCACGGGTATATAACTTATCATAAATCCCCTTAAAACGGTGCTCATACTTGCCACTATATTTGGTAGGTAAATTGATAGTAATGTTATGATCATTGACAGTCATGGATCTGGATTCAACTTTACCTGTTGGTAATTTAATATCATAGTCTATAACAAAAGGTTTGACACCTTCTAAATTTAATTTTATTTGGTTGCCACAATTTTGACACAATGGCTTAAGATGCACAAACAAATCGTTCTCTTCCAGATGTTGCTTTAAAACTTGCTGATCTGAAGTTATCAAAGTTAAATTAGGTCTGTTGTAATATGATACAGAAACTGTCTTTTGAGCAGCAATTTTACCGACACATCCACCGTTGGTTAAAGACGACAATGAATAAATTCCCTCTTCTTTTACTATCAATGACTTAGTATTTCTTAAGCTTCGTTTCTGAGAATTACTAGCATTGTACAAGTCACTAACAATATATTCTAACACATCTGATGAAGCACTGCCTATGGATGATTTTAATTTCAACGGAATCTTGTATGAATCTCCCTCAACAATCTTTACATTCTTATAAGATGTATCGGTATCAATTGATATTTCAGGTATATCTGATCTGGCTTTAATTTTTATGGATTCACGTTTGTCAAAATCCATAGGACAAGATTGACTGTCTTTTGCTTCAGATAACACCACTTCAAAGTTACCACCAGTAGCAAGCGAAGGTGTAACTATGTTATATGTACTATCAGAAACATTAAATACTCGAGATGTTTTAATCAATTTTTCCCCAGTATTTACGTCAATTATGTCATAATTGAAACTAAAAGGTGCATTTCCTTTCAAGAATAATGGAACTGTCACAGACTTGCCCATACAAGAACTGAAAACCTTTTGAATTTCACCTTTGGTCTCAAAAAATGATGCCTTAGATCTTTGATTAAAGTAAGTCAGATAAGTATGTTTCCTTTCATCTAAAAATATTGGATCCTTATGGTAATTAAAATCTTTGAGGCTATCAAACATAATAGCATAATTTCCCTCTTTTGGTGGTCTATATTCAAACTTGTAATGCTTATCAAATGTTTTCAATAGTCTATTGCTGAGTCCTCTCTCATTATAAACGGGCCTCAAGGTTCCATCAGACCTATTTTGATAAACATGGTATTGGATAAAAAATGGAGGTTTCCCCAGAAGTTTAAAATCAAATTTATATCCAGTCATTCCAACACACTTGTCAACTACAGGCTCGGCAAATATTTCAACCAGTGGTGGAGTTGCCATTTCCACCGATACATATTTGCTTGACAGCACGTCACAAGGGCAGTAACTTGATTTACCTTTAATAACACTATAGATACCGGGTTTATCACATTGAATACCTTTCGATAACTGTTGAGGATTCTCAAAAACCTTAGTGTAATTAGTAGATAATAATGGATTACTAGGGTTTATGTATTTGATATCAATTTCAAGTGGAAAATCTTGTTCTTTTAAATTCTTATGAATGAAAGATAACAGTTTAGTACCATTCACCAATAAGACCTCTTGTGGGTCTAGATCAGCAATTTCAATTTTTGGTGCTTGTTTCAATTCAATGGAATACCACACATCTTTATCTTTTGAAGAAGGATTATATACTTTCTTGTTCCCAAGAATATCCGTTACTTCTAATAATTGAAACTCTAATTTGCCTGCATCCAGCTTCGGTATAATATCAACATTACGAAAGACTTCCTGTTCTAATAGATTACGTGTTATTCTATTAGATTGTATCCATGACAAGTCATTGAAATTCTTAGTGTTTAAATTCTGCGTTTCATGCAAGTCGGTATCACTAACAGTCACATTAAATGACTTGTATTTTCTCCCATTCAATCTAGATTCAAAACTCACCACAACAGGACCAACGCCAAATGAGCTTACTAGTGGAAGGCTTATATCAAAATCACCATTACTAAGATCGTTTCCTATACATTTATAATTCTGATAAGATTTTGGTGAAACTGAATAAACGAATTCTGCACTTGGACAATGTGATATTACGAAGTCTGATCTAAAAGTTCTGATACTAATTCCCTTCTTGTCACTCACTTTACTAATTCTGTAAAGACCAGGTGATTTTATAGGGACTTCTGCATAAAAAATACGATCGTCGTTTTTAATGTTTTCTTGATACTGACGCAAATGAGAATAGTCCCTTTTCAACAACTTGTGTAAATCTGACTCTGTATAATTTATTAGTTTCCTTTCATTTGAAGGCGTGATATGTTGCAATTGCAAAAACCCTAATTGCGTTGTAGTGTTAAATTCTATAGGCATCTGAATAGATGAATACGGATTAGATTCCAAGCAAATATTATCAAAATGAAATGGGTTAAATCTAGCAGATGAGTCTGGTAAAAATTGAATTGTATATCTCCCTCTAAAATGCTCATTGGGATCAACTATGTTGTTAGAATTCACAGAATCACCAAAAAGTGTTAACTCCTTTCTACTAAATATTATTTTCCATACTGGTAACATCATGTTTGAAATCAATGGGATCATTGTATCACTCGCTAGAAAAAAGGTCACTCCATTTAATGCTAACGTTAACAAGAATGTTTTCAACGGTGAATACACTAAATAAGGAATATTTAGTATAGGAAGTAACCATAGAAAGAGCCCATCTATCATTGCATATTTAGCGATAAATGTAAAAGTGTTCAACGGCGCCAAACCAACAACACTGGTGGACATTATATCAGACTTTAATAGGATAATATCATATATTTTCCAGCATTGTATTAACACGAAAAACGATACTACAAAAAGTCGCTGTGATGCTTGATCTATGATACTTGATGGAATCAATGGCTGTTGAATTGATTCCAAATCTTCTGGCTTGGACCTCCTTTTATTTGCATTTGAGTCTCCTCTGGCATTGGAATCCATGTTTTGATAACAAATGCAACCAGATGTGTAATTATATATTTATGCTGATACTTCGTTAAATAGTACATCAATAGATCGAATGTAAATTTTTTGAGAATGAAAACAAACATCACGACATTTTCAAATGACGACATATTTGCTACTAATATTTCTATATACATCTATAATTAATTTTTAATAACCCACAGTCCATTAACCTTAATCTGGATGACCTTTGTTGCAGGTAAATCCCAACCAACACCACCATCACCAATTGCTGCACCAATTCTTGGAACGACATAGCATTCTCTTTTAGTTGGAGTTATATTTTTAGGAGCATAAGGGTGGCCCAATGGTTTAGAATACGTAATTAACAGGGAGTTCTTAGCAATATTTGCTAATTGTTTCCCAGAAATATCAACTAACGGTTTCATTCTTAATTTCGATAATTTTCCTTCTTGTTGATTACTTCCCAAGTTCAATGATTGATAGATCAAATAAGGCGATGGAATGCTACCAGAGTTTGTAATAATTGAATTGGGGTGAATATAAACATATGGGGAAACCTGGTCGCCAAACTGAGAGCTTGGAAATAATGTAGCATAAGGAATATTAATGACGTTAGTTTTGTTAGGAAGATCAATATCAGACGATATTAAATCACCTCTAATTGCAACTTGATCAATAAATCCAGAAGAAACCATCTGCTTTATAGCTGCAATTTGCTTTTTGCCAGGTACGCTTAACTTCAAATTCTTTTCTTCATCTAAATTGACACCAATACTATCCTTGCTAGTGTTAATTTTTACAATGTTGGTTACTTGCTTTCTTAATTTAAAGATCTCTTCCATTACTTTGGGTCTCAAAAAATTATTCTTTAAAAATTCACCATGCTTTTCTTTTGGAACATGATCAAATGCACACACTGCTGCCAATAATTGTAATCCATCACTTGATTTATCCAACTTAGAAAACATTGCTCTAGATTTGTAAAATTTAGATCTCAAATTTTTCTTAGCCTCTTCATCAACGAAGTCTTCTTCTTCACTAGAACTTTCATCTTCGTTATCTTCTGATTTCTTACGAGTGACATGACCAATACCCAATTCATGTTCATTAATGAAAGGATCGCCCACTGATAATGCAGAAACAATTGCAACAATGTATGGTAAACATCCCATTTGATTACCAACAATCAAAATTTTTGCAAAACGAGGACTTAATGGGAACACGGCCATCGTTCTTCCCAAGTCGGTTACGTTATTTTTCTTATCTAATGCCCCCAAAATTGTTAATAATTTCTCTGCTTTACTAAGTGCGAGTCTGTCTGGTGGGGTTGGGAAAGGAAAATTCACGATTTGATCAATACCCATACTTTTCATGGACAAAACAATGCTCTCTACAGGCATCCTTAATATTTCTGGTTTACTAAATTGAGGGAAGTAGTTTTCATAGATAGCAGACGAAAACAAGCGATAACAATGACCAGGTCCAGTTCTACCTGCTCTACCTGCTCTTTGATCTGCAGAAGCTTTGGAAATCCAATCGATTTCAAATGACTGAACTCCTGTCTCTTCATTAAAATGACGTTCTTTTGAACGCCCAGAGTCTACGACATAACGAATTCCAGGTATAGTCAAAGAAGTTTCAGCCACATTAGTTGCAATAATACATAAACGGCTCCCTTCTGGTGGATTTTGAAATACCTTCATTTGCTCTTTTGTAGGTAACAAGGAATATAAGGGTAAAACATACAAGGGATCTTTATCAGTTTGGTGTTCTTCCAAAGATTCTTCGAAACCTTCTTCCTCTTCTGAATCTGACTGATAATCATCATTTTCCTCTAAATTATCCTTCTTAATATTCACACTAAAGTCAATATCTTCTGCCTCAGCATCAGTGTTTTTACTTATTTTAACTTTTGGAGCATTTTCATCCGCATAATTTATTTTGCCTTGTCTTTTAGCTTTTTCTGGGAAAGGAAATTCTTTACGTAGCTTTTTGACAACAGAAGTAATTTCATTTTGACCAGTTAAAAAGACTAAAATACCACCTGGAGGTAATTTTCTGTGAATTTTGCATACTTTCTTAAATGCTTCTTCCATGTAATCAAAATTTGTTCTACGATTGAAGTGAACACTAACAGGGTGCTGCCTTGCAGATATTTTTAAAATTGTAGGTGGAGTTTTAAATAATAGCTTATTCTCAGAAAAGTCTGATACTCTTAATGTAGCGGACATTATAATTAATTTCAACGGTTTGTATTTCTTAGGATCTGTCTCATGATATTTCCTTCTTAATTTTAAAATTCTACTGAGCATCCCAATTAAAATATCTGTATTTATATTTCTTTCATGAGCTTCATCAATGATTATGGCAGAGTACTTATTCAACAAAAGATCTGCCATCATCTCTCTTAACAAGACACCATCTGTCATAAACTTAAGTGCCGTTCCATTTTCCGTTCCTTCATTCGAAATAGTACTATCAAAACGGATTTGATAACCTACTCTTTTTCCATGCTTTTCGCCTAATTCTTTTCCAACACGACCTGCCATGGAAACAGCTGCCACTCTTCTTGGTTGAGTAACACCAATCATTCCTGGATGTATATCAGAATTAACGTCACCAAATCCAGCTTCATAAAGAAATTGTGGGACTTGGGTTGTTTTACCTGAACCAGTTTCACCGCAAATGATAACACAGTCATGGTGATAAATAGCTTCCATTATCTTATGCTCTTCACTAAATACTGGTAAATTCATTCTTTGTTCTTGAATTTCGGGAGAACGATCAACTTCAACATAAAATGCTTCTCTTTTAAGAGCCTTATTAACGGGAACATAATTTTCTTCGTCTGATGAATGATCATAATCTTCTTCATGTACACTTGGCTTCGAGTATTTAGCTTTTAAGTGGTCTGGTAAATCAGGCATCACAACCTCACCATCTCGACCTTCAATTTTACGTACTTGCGCTTCTGCCCACTCTTTAAATGATTCTGCAGTTGATGAATGCTTTGGTTTAGACTGTAAAAGCCTTGGTAACTCCTCGTCACTTTCTTCTTCTTCGTCGCTCGCTTCTTCTTCACTATCTTCCTCGTCATCTTCTTCGCTATCTTCCTCTTCTCCGTCAACATTTTCATCACTTTCAAGATCTTCTTTTTCGTCACTTGCGCTTTCTGTTTCACCATCGCTGTTTTTCTCACCATCTTCGTCTTCTTCATTTTCACTTTGACTATTCACTTCGCCATCTTCTTCACTATTTTCATCTTCTGAACTCGAGCTAGCAAAATCCATATCATCTTCAATTTTGCTTTTCTTCTTGTCATCTTGCTCGACTCTTAATCTCCAACTATATTTCTTTTTGCTGACGGTTTTTGGTTTCTCAATTTTAGGTAAGTTTTCGAATCCAAAGCCAAATCCGCTTCCTCCAAACTTCAGAGGTCTATTATCAATGAAAGAAGACTTATTTCCTGTAGTGGACATTGAATCGTTGTCACCATACTTATCTAAGCCTTCATCCTCCAGATCACCATTACTTTCCTCTGATTCACTTTCATAGGATGGTTTATTACTTATCTCTATATCCGAAGGCCATTCCTTCACCTCTCTTTCTTCGTACAAAATCTCTTTAGTTCTCTCGTCACCACGACCTTGTCTTTCAAGTTCCAATGCTTCGATCATCTCTTCCCTTCTTGTTTGTTTACCTGTCCCTAATAGCTTGGACGGAACAAAGAGCTTAGGATCCATTTTTGTTTCCGACAACTTCTCTAACAACACTTTTTTTTCGTCTCTCTTCAACTGATGCTCGATATACTTATCTAACCTTTTTTTCTTTGTCCTCGACATCTTCGATTCCTTCTCGTTTGCTGAATATATCATTTCCTCTAATCTCCTCTTTCTCTCACTCTTCTCCTCCTCTGTTAAAGGTTTAAGTATTTCTGAATTTGGATCTTCGGTATTAATGTGATTTTCATTACTAACTACCTCATCAGTTCCATCTGCTTCATGTCTAGTAAATTGCTTGTTTCTAGCTTTTTTGAGTGCAGCCTGCTTAGCAAGCATCCCCGAACGAGCCTTCTCGTTGAACCTTTTCCTATATTTACCCATTTTCTAAGGATCTTGCAGACACTAGTATACACATAGAGTAGTTCATATCATCATATTTTTTTGAGATGAGTAGAGTTTTTGTCACGTGTGAGATCAGTAGCTCAGCTTGTAAATTTCAATGATATCACATACTATTGTAATGGAATATAAACAGAACGGTATTTAAAAGGTGATTATAGGTGACAATGAATAATAATCTCCATAACCATTGTAAGTTAATTCATACCTCATGGTAATATATAACAATATACTAACTAAAACTTTAGTAATCCATACTACTTTAACGCTAAATTCCTCTACGCTATATACGTATGAAAACTTCGAATTAGTCCACCAGTTAAACAATTTGAATTGTTCTGAAATTGTCTCTCAAGAATTAGGGTTAATTAATGCTTCGAAAACACTTGTTGGGTCTATTCCTATTGCTGCGGGTTATACTGTAAACTCTAATTTAACGTTGTACTTCATGAAAAAGGTATTATCGAATAGTGATGGCAGTAACGACTTGATTACAATTATAAGTATAGCACATGTGAATGTGAATAAAACATTGATATTGTCAGTATTAAAAAAAGTCATGGATAAGTATATTGATTTCAAGCGGGATATTGAAAGTTCTGATAATAACTCGACTCATCAGATAAAGACAAAGCTTGGAGAGTTCAAACTCTACATGAATCAAATTATAAAGTATGAAGAAATGAATTACGATTCTAACCAACATGTATATAATTATGGCGCAATTAATAATAATAGAGGCACCGATGATGAATCAGATGGTATAGCTGGTGAAGATGTAATTAGTCCCAACCAATTGCTTTTGGCCAACGAAGAAGCTGATGAAGTCAGGCAATTAATGTTGGATAATATTAACAAAATTATGAATAGAGGTGATAAGATAAATTTATTAGTTGATCAAACGGATAGGTTAACAAGCTCATCACTGATGTTTCAGAAACGGGCACAGTTAATCAAGAGAAAAATATGGTTGAGTAAGTCTAAGTTCATGCTTATGATAGTAGGTGGTGTTGCATTCATGATTTACCTCCTAATTGGGTCTCGTTGTGGATTTCCTGGCTTTGGCCAATGCTTGCATCCTTAATTTGTATATTTTATGTCATTAAATTAGTATATAGAAACTTCTTCTATAAATACCCAAAACTACGAATCATCTTCAGAACTATTTTGTACGTCTTCCACATCTGCTGCTTCTTCGCCTCTTAATTCATCTTCCTCTCTACTTAATAGAGCGATCGGGTTCTCTTCAACCTCACCATTATCCTTGTCATCATCAAGTTCTTCCTCGCCATCTTCCTTAGATTCCTTGTTATTCGTTTCTTCATCATTAGCAAGTTCCTCGGTCACATCTTCGTCATCATCGTCAGCTTCATGATCATCCTCTATTTCTACATTGTTGTCTCTCTGTATAGTTTGCTCATCGTTATCTTTAAGTCTCTTGCTCAGAGGTGAAGCATCAACTCCTTCTGGCTTGGACACCTTCTTTTCAGCTTTATGTTTCTTCCTCAAAGCAGCATTGCTCTCATATACACTCAACTTTTGTTTAACCTCTGGTATAAACCCTGAAAATTCAGCCTTTTCAAGAGCACCAAGTATGTCTTGTGCGTTCACCGTTTTACGTCCTTCATCTTTGGAAATTTGCCTTGCTTGAAACAATAAGTGTGATACAAACACAGTCGACGACCTTTGTAACGCAGTCATAGAATCCTTTGCAAGAATCATATTACTTCCACCTTCGTCGCTGCTAGCATTCATAATATTCTTCGCAAGCTTCTGCACCGTAGCACGAGGAAATAAAATATCATCAATTGATACCAAATCTTGATCCTTGTTCGGCTGGGGGTATTGCCCTTCCGTATTCTTTCTCCATCCCTTTGGTGGCATCTTTGGTTAACGATAGAGGTCTTCTACTGATATATTTGATTTCTTGAAATCTTGACGCGTATACAATTTTGAGGTATTCGATGAGAATGCGTACAGAACCATATCTTGTGATGCTTATAACAGGATTAAAAGGAATTTCATAGAGTTAATTTAGTAATCGTTAAGGGTGAGCAATGCTGGCAACTGCTAAATCCAATTCTAAGTCATCGAAGCATGAAAAAGATAATGAATTCTATGGTGTTTTGAACGAGCCAAATATAGGGAAAGTTGTTTTTGGAAATTATGAATTTGATACCTGGTACGGTAATGCAGCATATTTTAGCTCCCAGGGACCCCATTCTATATTAGGATATGAGTTTTCAAACAAGATAGTGAATGCTACGGGACAGAAGGATAAAAAGAAGGTCATTGAACGGATATCTGAGACGGAGAGTAAATCAAAGAATGATTCGTTGTGGTTAGATAAATTATACATCTGTCAATACTGCTTTAAATATACAGATAAAGAGCAATTCATGGGGCAGCATCAAGCAGTATGTCCATTAAATTCTAGATTTCCTTCAATAGGGGAATTGTTATATAGGGACGACGAGTCTCCGTACTTCATTATTCGTGTCAGAGGGTTTATGCATCAACTATTTTGCCAGGCACTTTCATTATTCGGGAAACTATTTCTTGAAGACAAATCTGTATACTATAATGTGGATGCATTTGACTATTACATTATCTATGGTCTCAATCAAAATCTGGATCATACATTTCCAGAAGAAAAGTTTGTTCCTATGGGATTCTTTTCGAAAGAAGTACTATCGTGGGATGAAGATAACAATTTAGCGTGCATATGTGTTTTTCCACCATTTCAAAGGCGGCATCTTGGTTCTCTTTTGATAGAATTTCTGTATGCATTGGCCAGAGTTACCCCTGGTCAGTATAGAAGTGGGCCCGAATTTCCATTATCTCCGTACGGCAAAATGAGTTATTTACGTTACTGGTCAAGAAAATTGGCATCTATCCTATTGCAAACTTTCAAAATAAATGAGGAATTTAATCTAGCTAAGCTAGCAGATATTACTGGTTTCCGGAAAGAAGACATTTTACTAACTTTGGAATATATGCAAATATTACAAGTTACTAGTGATGGTGGAGTTACTTTGTCTTTTGGCAATTTGAATCAATGGTGCTCTGAAAATAATGTTGATCCTTTGCAAGAGAAGACCATGTTAAACCCGAATTGCCTTTTAATTTAATAGAATTGCATATACATTTGGACATATTATATTCTCTCGATTTTCATACAATAGGCCATAACTCATGATTTACGATATAGATTAAGCTTTTTAATATGCTTTATCGTATTTTAAAACTTGCAAGTGCATGTAGATCTAGGTATTCAAGAATTGCAAAAAAAGACGTGCTCGAAAAATGCGTAGTAGATTTATTGCCATTTTTATATTCAATAGCTAAAGCAAATACTATGACGATGGAGAAGAAGAGATATTTCAGCGTTAAACTGGAAAACCGACTGCCTGATCTAGTAGCTACTCAGACAAATGAAGGTTTGGAAAATCCCCCAATATCAAAAAATAATGAAGAAGAATCATTATTCGTCGATGATGAAGATAGTGATATAGAAGAACATAATATACTGAACAACAATGAAATCTTAAATGCCGAAACCGATGCGTATCACTTAGAATACAAAGAATTTGAAAGTCGATTAAAGTCTGTAGTAGGAACTATATCATCGCATGCTATGAATCATTTGTTTAAAAAATATCATGATAAGCAAAATTATTTGAAGTTGGCCGTCCAAGAATATTTGCAAGGTATTGATGAGAGCAGTGCAGGCACTCATAACTCTGAAAGTTCTAATGATGAAAATAAAATTTCAGATGGTAATAGAAAGAGAAATTATGAACAAGAACAGGATGACTTAATGAACAGGCTACAACGAGAGCGACAAAGAAGTCAAGAAGATGAGAAAGGGAAGTCATGGAATCGATTCATCGGTAGTCTAAACGTTCAAGCATGGGCGACTAGGCCAACAACTAAGCCATTAAAATATTTAGAGAAATTAGAATTACGGCGGTTAATGCCAAAAAAATTGAATGTTGGCAAAGTTAATAAGGAGAAACCAAAATTTGGTGATTCTTCCATCATAAGAATCTACACGATACCAAGTAATGCAGAAGAATCTGGAAGAGAAATAGGGCGTATTCCTGAAGATATAACGCGTATGTTAGTGCCATTAATTGATTTAGATATCTCTTCGTTTTATACTACAGTGATGTTAGACACTGAAAAGCGATTATCTACAGGGGATTCTTTCTACATCCAAATTGATTGCTATTTATCACAAAATGCTTTTTCGGGTAAGGAGCTAGAAAGATCAATGTCTCAGGCTGATCTGGATTTAAATGCTTTGAAAAGACAAAAGAAGATGGACACAAGAACAAAGTTTGATTTTTCGTCTGAAACTAACACTGAAGCGATTTTGAGGTTAAGGCAAAATTCATTATCTAGATTTTTTCATAGACTAAACATCAAACCAATTCCTAAAAAATCAAATAACAGAAATGATTCAAATGAAGCTTCTGAAGCACCGATTATGATAGATTCCGAAGATGAAAACGATGAATCACTTAAAGAGGATCATGAGCAACAAAATTTAGATCAATTGAAACAAATAATGCAAGCCAATCAACAATCAGAATTATTGGATAGTTTGCCAGAAACAACTAAACCTCCGATTTCCAATTTTAAACTAGATTTAAGGAATTATCAAAAGCGTGGTTTATCGTGGATGTTAACCAGGGAACGAGAGGTAGCTGCATTAGAAACTTTATCTAAAATCGATGATGATAATGAAGTCTTGACGACTCAAGCGAAGGCGAATATTCATGAACACAATGACGCATTTATGAACCCATTATGGGATGTATTTGAATGGCCGAAGGATAATTCAATACATAAATCTAAGGCTCCAAAAAATGATGATGGAATGGAAGATAATTATTTTTATGCGAATATGTATAATGGGGAGCTTTCGCTCACTAAGCCAATTATAAGGTCAATGGTGAAAGGTGGTATTCTTGCTGATGAGATGGGTTTGGGTAAAACGATCTCAACATTAGCTTTAATTAATTCTGTTCCCATTGACTTATTGTTTGAAGAGAATAAGGAAATCGAGGACGAAAAGATTTATGCTTCTAAAACAACGCTTATTATTGTACCTATGTCATTACTTTCGCAATGGCAAAAGGAATTTGACAAGGCAAATAATAATCCAAATCATACATGCTTTATTTATTATGGAGACCTGGCATGTACTGACTTATCGCCCATATTATGCAACAAGAAAAAGGATATACCAATCGTTATTATTACAACATATGGCACAGTTCTCAATGAATTTACAAGACTCTCTAATCGTAGAGATGCAAAAGGATATTTGCCAAAAATAGGATTATTTTCAGTAAAGTTTTTCAGAATTGTGTTGGATGAAGGACATAATATAAGGAATAGAACGGCTAAGACTTCTAAAGCAATATACGAATTGTTGCTGAACAGGAAATGGGTTCTAACAGGTACTCCAGTAATAAACAGATTGGATGATTTATATTCGTTAGTTAAATTTTTAGAGCTTGAACCATGGTCAAATTTTTCTTATTGGAAAACATTTGTTACTCTTCCGTTTGAACAAAGAAAAATTTCTCAAACATTAGATGTTGTCAAATCTATCTTAGAGCCAATTTTTATTAGGAGAACAAAGAACATGAAACAAAGTAATGGAAAACCTTTGGTCGAATTGCCTCTCAAAGAAGTTGTTATTGAAGAGATTAGATTTAATGAAGTTGAAGAAAAGTTATACAACTGGTTCAAAGTTAGAGCTTCTCAGTCGTTCAAAGAAGGTATTAAAAGTGGTGACCTATTTAAGAAATATAGCCAAATTTTAACTCACATTTTAAGACTTAGACAAGTTTGTTGTCATGTTGATTTGGTAGGAAGTGCAAATGAAATGGAACAAGAGTTAGTTGATCCGAATACAAACGGTCATTTACCAGAAACTAATGGTGACTCTGAAAGTATTTCAGAGGTAAATAATATATTAGATCAGTATCATGCTGATAATAACCATGATGAAAAATTTAAGAATAATACTGAAGTTCGTTCAGCGATGTTCCCATTGTATGAAAAGGTTGATTTGAAAGAATCTGAATGTTCAATCTGCACGCAATCACCGATTCCTATAGGTGAAATGGCATTGACCACATGTGGACATGCATACTGCTTGAATTGTGTATTAGAACATTTTGATTTCCAAGAAAAGAACCTGCAAAAACCATTATGTCCTAATTGTCGTAAATCGATATCAAAATACAAAATATTTAAATTACGTCACAGGGAAACGTCGGGAAAAGAAATCAGATTTCACACAAAACATGAATTGGAAGATCCAAGCCAAAACTTCAGATTTCAATTGTATCTATATGACCCGACTAAAACATCTTCAAAAATCCAATGCTTGATCAATCATTTGAAGATATTGAAAGAACAAAGTCCTAATGAACAAGTTGTTGTATTTTCACAATTTTCATCGTATTTGGATATAATTGAAAATGAATTAAAAATACAAATCCTGGACGACTTTGTTGTTTACAAGTTTGATGGCAGACTTAATATGAATGAACGACAAAAGATATTAGAGAAGTTTAGCAGTCAAAAGCATGAGAATAAGGTAATGATTCTTTTGTTGTCGCTTAAAGCTGGAGGAGTAGGATTGAATTTGACCACTGCCTCTAGGGCATTTATGATGGACCCATGGTGGTCTCCGAGTGTTGAGGACCAAGCAATTGATAGAATACATAGAATAGGGCAAAATCTGAATGTTAAGGTTACCAGGTTTATCATGGCTGATAGTATTGAAACTAAGATGCTAAAAATACAGGAAAGAAAAAAACAAATTGGAGAAGCTGTTGGTGCTGAGGAAGACGAAAAGAGGAAAAGAAGGATTGAGGAAATGCAAATATTATTCGAAGATGATTAGGTATTTTTCTTATTTTATAGATTAATCGTGTATATAGCTTAAATGAAGATAAGGTTACTTATTATAATCCTTGATTCACTTTAATTTGTTAAAATACTTTTTGAATTGCTAAACTTTTACTCGAATTTTAAATTATTGCCAATTCCAAACTATATTGAAAATTTATATTTTCTAAATAATTTTAATAATATACCCTTTTGTATCGTGGACTATATCACTATTGTAAATTCAACTTGCTCTCAGTTTTGATCTTAATTCATATACATTGATCGTTATCTTCATTACAAGAGAAGAATAAAATGGCTGCTAAATGTGCCACTTTTGTGTCACTTTGCATTACACAAAAATACTTGATCTACTAATTGCCAATATCGAACTCCTTTTTTAACAATATATATGTTACTATATACTATACATTGACTTATTTCTTTAAATTTCTTCTTTGTTTCACGGCATTAGATAAACCTTCTAAAACAGATTCAGTATCTTCCCAACCGATACAGGCATCAGTAATAGAGCAACCGTACTTCAAAGCATCCTTACCACCCTTATCGGCAGGTGGGACGTCTTGTCTTCCTTCAACAATGTTTGATTCAATCATTAAACCACAAATAGCATCTTCACCATTACTGATTTGTCTAGCTATTTCGGCTGCAACCAATGGTTGATTCTTGTGATTTTTGCTTGAGTTACCATGGGAACAATCAACCATAATTCTTGGACCTGGCTTCGCATCTGTGACAATTTTATTTTTGATTAAATCTTCCTTAGTTTCCTTTACAGATTGTTCATCGAAATTTGTTCCCTTTTTACCACCTCTTAAAATAACGAAACAGTCTTGGTTACCATCTGTTCCAACAATGGCAACAATACCTGGCTTTGTAACCGATAAAAAGTGATGAGGGTGAGATGCGGCTCTAACTGCATCCATCGCTACACCTAAGGTACCATCTGTACCATTTTTGAACCCAACTGGGAAAGATAAACCAGATGATAACTCACGATGTAATTGGGACTCAGTAGTTCTAGCACCAATAGCACCAACAGAGAACAAATCGGACAAGAATTGGGGTGAAATTGTATCTAACATTTCACCAGCAATTGGCAATTTTTCAGTTAATTCTACGAATAATTTTCTGGCAATTCTTAAACCTTTATTAATCTGGAATGAACCATCGATTTCTGGATCATTAATTAAACCCTTCCAGCCAACAGTTGTTCTTGGCTTTTCTAAGTATGCTCTCATAACGATATGCAATTCGCCGGAATATTTTTGAGAAGCTTCGTATAATCTTCCAGCATAATCAAGAGCTGCCTTAGGATCATGGATTGAACAGGGACCAATAACGATAATCAAACGATCATCCTTACCATTCAATATATCACAAGCATCTTCTCTACCTTTTAAGATGGTGTCTTGTGATTTTTGTGGTAATGGTAGTTCATGTTGCAATAAGTCAGGAGGAGTCAAAGGGTCGTAACCACGGACTATATCATTCAGTTAGTACATTCAGAATTCACAATAGGTTTTTAATAGTAGTGGTTTTGGACATATGCGAGTACAAAAGCAAATAACTCTCCCCATTACTTTATTTGATTCCTAATACATACCTCTCCAATCTTCTAATCTAGAGCGATCTCCGACGTGTTCGTTAGTGATGAACATGGATGTGATATTATAGTTTTAATGAAAAAATTTATTTAAATTAGTAACAGAATTCTGCTAATTGGATAAATTTCACTTAATGACGATAATTTACGAGGACTTCTTGCACGTGTAAGTATTCTGGAAAGTACAAGCAATTATGATGGAGACCTTCAATATTTTCAGTAATAAGTTAACTATGTAGAGTGTTCAACACAGTATTCTAGTATGATGGTATGCAGTTTCAATATATTTAATGAATTTGGAAATTTCAGTATCTTTATACGTTAGTACATAAAATAAGTCATGCCGCAAAAAATGTTGACTCATACAACGTTGACTCACGTTTGAACCTATTTAATTCTATTTACTTCTTTTCAAAAACATAGATATAACCATTCTCTTTAATATCTGAGATACTAGCATCATCACAAACAACAACTTTTTCATCGTTGAACAATACCCATTTTGTTTCATTATTGATGAATTTTTTAATGTAGACAACATAATGGCCAGTGTGGGGTGAAGAACCTTTGTGACAAATAACCGCTTTCACGTCATATTTGCCATTATTAGTTGGTGGATTTTCGAGTAAATCTTGTGTAATTTCTCTGCATTCTTGAGCAACGTTAACTATTGGTTTGGAATCTTCAATCACGCCGTCATCATCAGGATTGGAAAATAGCCATTCAACAGCGGCGTTGATGTCATTTTTATTAAGAATTAATGCTTTTTTGGACAATTGATTGGAAAATCCCATGGAAACCAAGTTATCAATCGAGTCTTGTGATGGTTCAGTTGATGAAGTATTGCTATCAGTAGGCGTGAAAGGTTCATCGATATCAATATCATCCATATGAGCCAATATCCAATTCATGGCGTCCTCGGCATTGTTATTACCAGTATTATATAAACCTTTAATACACCTCACCTCAGGGAAGCCCATACTTAACAACATTGACAAACTCTCTTCATTTGGAACAAATTCTTTAGAATTGCTCTCATTTTCGTCTTTACTAGTTATTGTTTCTCCAGATGCTGCTTGCGGTGCCTTAAACAGAGACAAGTCAATTGAGCCTGGGATTGAAATCGGTACATCTACTTTTACTGGAACCCAATTCTCAAGCTTAATTCTTCTTGCATTTACAACAAGAACATCAGGAAATGTCTTAAATCCAGTAGATTTGATAGCAGTAGAAGTAGGTGAGTTGCAACTATCACATTTAAAACCTTCCACAACTTCCTCTGCACAATAATTTTTAAAACTATCCGCAATATTGGTTTCTTTGTAAGTCTTTTTACCAGTTTCTGCATCGACACTTTCTATTTCATCATCAATAGGTACTGAGACATTATCTATTAATTCATGGCTAACATTGCCATGTAAACATTTAGAACATACTACCTTACTTCCCATCAAAAACTTCATAGGCTTATTTAAATTTAGGCCAAATTCATTATCAATTTTATCTAACAAATACAATAAAAATTCAAAAGCATCTTGTTGTTTCTGGGTTTTAAATTCTGGATGATTTTCCCCAATTAATGATTTAAAAGTAGAAGGCTTGATACCTAATTGATAATCATCTCCTTTAATAGAATTTGGTTTTGAATAACGCCCAGAAAGAAGTCCATCATGTACTTTAATCAACTGACTAAGTAGATCCTTAGAAGGATCTTGTATTTCTTTGTAACTCGGAAATTCTTTCACAGCAAAATATTCTTGATAACTTGGTAGACTAAATAGAGCTTGCAATACGGAGTTCAAATAACATGAATTACCTAAGTTTTGAAAACCAGTTAAGTCCTTACCAAAAACAGGTTCTAATTTTTCACCATTAGCACCATCAAGTTTAAACTCCCAATTTAAATTTTGATCTAAATTCAATTCAATTAAGTTTTTTTCTGTTTTAACTGACTTAGCCAAATCAATGCCATACTTCAAGAGCTTTTCGTTAAGATCATTTACCTTCACTTCATCCTGACATTGGTAGCAATAACAGTCACAGTTGTTTACATCATCAGCCGATAGGGAACCTAACTTAATGGCAACTGGATGTCCCGAAAGCTCGTAATGCTTCAAAGCGTGAGAATTCCCTTGCAATGCAGAGCCGAATTGTTGTCTCCCACATCCAATTATCCCACAATGCAAGCAGATCCACAAGTTTTCCTTCAATTCACACTGAGCGCAAACAGATAAATCAACAGACTCATTGGGAAATTGCTGTATATCTACAGAATGCTCACACGGGAACACTTCTTGTTCCCAAGCCTTTATTTCATCGTCTCTAACAGATGAATTAGACTTCAATACGTTTTCAATCAAACGCTGAATATTTTCAGGTGATTTTTCAATCGAGAAGTTTTGGTTGCAGTCTAAACAATATATCGACTTAGTGATGTCATATACATCTTCTTCTTTGGTATCTTTTATTTCGAGTTTGGCAATCTTTTGATGGCGTTCACCTTCTTCATTCTTTGGGAGTTGGTTACGATCAAAATCTGACTTTAATACTTTTACGATATTTAAGTAATATGAATGATTCGTATCATTGTAATGCTTTTGGGTGTGATTGATTTTTCCTCTGGAGAAAGATTGAAAACAGTGTAAGCAAATATCTAATCCTGAAGTATTATTCTCTGGTGTATCAAAACAGTACATACAATCATCCTTATACACTTTGGTATTGAGTGGAATTTCAGCTGTTAATTTTGAAGACTGATTCTCAATATGTTTACAAGTAGCCATCATTGTAAGCTAATATATAAGATATATTTAGCTCACCTTTGTTTCCTAAATATATTTTTTTGAGTGAGTATTTGTGATCTAAGCTGCAAAGTTACTTCTTCTTTTCTATATGATATTTACAATAACAGAAAATGTTTGATAGGATTGCAAAGAAGATATCTGAAAGGATAGAGCATACTAATACTAATAGTCAAGGTCCACACTTATTTAAAAGTTGCGTTTATTATTCTAATTGGTCTGTTTACAACAGAAAACACTTCCCGAAGGATATTCCTGCGAGTAATGTGTCTCATATTTTCTATGCATTTATTGGCATGGACTCGGGAACTGGTCAATTGAAGCTTTCTGATGAATGGGCAGATGTACAGCTACCAATGGAGTCTCCGCTTGACAAAAACAAAAAATTATGTGGTAGCTTGCTGCAATTATCTGAAATTAAACAAATGAATAGACATCTTAAGGTGCTTATGTCTATTGGAGGATGGGGAACGAGTGCATTGTTTACAGAGATTATGTCGAAACCAGCCAAAATGGAAAAGTTTATTAGCAGTTCAATTGAATTACTTTTAAAATATAAGTTTGATGGAATTGATATTGATTGGGAATATCCAGCTAACAATACAGAGGCACAGCTCTTAGTTGCATTGCTAAAGAGGTTGAGAATTGAGTTGGATAGAATACATAATCAAGATGATTTGTTATTGACCGTGGCATCACCTGCAGGCGATGATCAATTGTCAATTATGAAGTTGCGTGAAATGGATAAATATTTATCTTTCTGGAATGTAATGTGTTATGATTTTGCAGGCGGATCGTGGTCTTCTAACACAGGATACCATTCCAACTTATTTGGGAAAAATGGAGATAATTCGTTGAATTGCTCTGATACTATTCAGAAATATTTAAGCCAGGGGATAAATTCCCGTAAATTGGTTATGGGAATGCCGTGCTACGGGAGATGCTTTTATAATGCCTCTGGTCTAGGTATTGGTCAGCTGTTTAAACAGGGAGATGGAAAAGAGGAGACTGTTGATTATAAAGAGCTACCGATTAGAGGTTCCCACGAAGAATTTGATAATAGGAAGGTGAGTGCCTATACCTATGATCCAAAAACCCATGTTATGATTACATACGATAATCATCAATCTGCTAGAATCAAAGCCAAATTCATCGAACTGAACAAGCTAGGCGGTGGAATGTGGTGGGATTCGGCGGGCGATAGCAAAAGGCCCGAAAGATCTTTGATCTTGAATTTTGTTGATCAATTAGGAGGGACTGAAATGTTGGATAAGAGCAAAAACCATATAGCTTAAATAGAATAAGTTAAATGAATATTATTTTATATTAATAGAGAAAGATAGTGAAAAATAAAATAAAAGCGAACAATAAAATGTTGTATATGAAAATGAACATAGTTTAATAAATGTACACTGAAAAGCTTAAACCTTTTATAGAACCATAAAAATATATCGTTTACAAAATGGAATCCATTCTTGCAAAGACACTCAATACAGCTGCAATTAATTCGAGTTGTAATTCATGAGACGAACATTTTTCAATTTCATCTCCAACAACTTGACCTAAATTCATTCCTATGCCCAAAGGACTTTGATGCGATAAATTAAAGGGAAATTCACTAAAGTCATTCAACAATTCGTCAGCCCTTGCAAATGCCTGATCTCTTTTGTCGTAATTCAAAGATAACAAAACGTTTTCCAAAACGTTTGCTGCATACGATCCACATACTAATGCAATTGATCTCAAGTATTTGAATGAAGTGTCAGCTGGGAATTGATCATTGGCTAAAGATTCCAAATCAACATTTCTTGAGTTTAACAAATTTAAAATCCTATTCTTAATATACTCTTTGGACATTTTGTCGGCGACTGGATGTGTAGCCATATCAAATAAAAAGAAATTTTTTCTTTCGGTTCTCAAAATACCCTTGTCTACCAATCCTTTAGCTAACCTTTCTCTAACTTGCTTCAATTGATAGTTTATCTTCATCAAATTCCATGTTTCGCCGGATAATAAGTCAATCCAGTTGGTGACCGACAAATGTGACTCGTCGTTTTTCATTATTTTAAGCGCTTCATCTAACAAAACTTCCCCAGTAGGTTCTGTATCAATGACTTCTACCAATCTGTCGGATAATTCAAATCTACGTCTGGCTGGATCATTAACTAATGTGATTTTATTACGAAACGCCAATTCTAATAGAATACACCCACGTAACGCGTACGAAATATTATCGTTCCAAAATGACAAGTATCCTTCCTTATCTTTCAATCCCATAAGTAATACTTCTTCCATTAATGTTAATAATGGTAACTTCAATGACTTATGATCCTCTATATCCCGGACGTCATAGCCTATTTTATGGTCTGGCACATCGTCATTCCGTTCATTATCAATCGAGTCTGATGTTCTAGGTTTTGGTGTCAGTGTCCCAGTATTTTTACCACCACCACGACGTCTTTGTAACCCTGATGATGACATTTAAGCTAATTTATACCTTGATGATATAATTATTACTACGGCTATTCTTGATAGATTTTGTTGATAATTTTGACGCAGATTGATTTAATGAACCGATAAAAAATGACAGAATTTACTTTTGATACTTATTTACATCCTAGAAGGCTGAAAATTCAATTTGGGGTAGTATATATGTAATTTGACTAGAGGACATAATACTGAGGTCATTGATAAGCGACGTGAAAGAGTAGGAAGCTCAATTGTTTGAGTTATTAAGTAATTTGTAGTGCCAGTTATATCAGAATGTGACACGACCAATATTGGCAGAGGATTGAGGCCCTTAAACCGCTGCACATTTTGTATAGAGTTGTGTGAAGCAGCGTTCGATAATTTTTGTAATTGAACGTATCATAAGTAGTTAACGAAGGATATATGGAAGGAAAACTTAGTTATAGGGAAACTGGTGAAGATCGCCTGTTTTCTAATAATAGTGACGAAGAAAATGAATATGAACAAAATGATCAAGATATCTTAGACGATTTCGTATCGTTTCCTACTATTCCCGACCCAGATCAAGAACATTCCAAGACACTCACTAAGATATTTTCCAAGACGCTTCGTAAGGTGACATCGAATGCACATCATCTTGTCCAAAATTATTCGTCTCCTAAATCACGTACAACTAGCGGAGATAGCTATCATGATAGATTTCCCGAGAGCCCGGTGAGAATGCCAACTTTGACTACCACGGCGATTATACAGCCTGAGACAGATAAAGTGAGCCAAAAGACTATAGATAATACTTCTCTCATGTCATCACGGCTATCAAGGGTGTCTTCCCCAATAATGGAACCGTCTTCAGGAACTCCACAGATTAGAGTATCGGGACTTAAATCCTCTGAAAATATATCCAAATCTCCTAGTAATTCGGACATTATGGGCATACCAGGAATATCGAATAATAGTAAAGATGATGTTTCAAATACGAATAAACCAAACCAACAACCAATGCATGTAAGGTCGAGCATTGCTCGCACAGATGTTCCAAAAGTCAAATCAGATAATAAAAGTTTACGGTTATCCAGTATGAGGGCTCCTCATTTGTCATACGCATCCATGAATAATAGTGCTACGAGCTCAGTTATCAATGTGAGTGCTCTTGCCAGTACGGACAAGGGTGAAACTTCGATGAATATGGATATTTCAACCCACAAACCACTGCAATCGACAAATTCAATGGTGTCAAATGTAACTGGAAATAATAACACTAATGACAATAATACTAACAACATTTCACAAAAGGATAAGCAGAAGATTCTTCAAAACCGAATATCTTCGATCTTCAACAATTTACCCAATGATATAGAACTATCTGAAGATTCTGCATCAGATTTGGAAACAATAAATAATGTTAGTATCTCACCATCTACAAGCCACGCAAACATTGCATCAATAAATGCTCATGACAACTTACTACTCGAAGAAAAACCAGACACATCACCTATAAGGAACCGTTCGCAGAACGTCCAAGAATATTCGCCAACATCGATCGCTTTCACCAATTTCAGAAATTTGCATGATAAGACTAGCAAAAAGAAGAGTTCGTCTAATATACCCAGTTTAATACTAGATAATGCCAAATCTATCATAAATAGCAATATAACTGGATCAGTCGTATCATCAGCTTCTTCGATTGTTACTTCAAGAAGCAGAAACAAAAACAAAAAGAAGAAGAAACCTAGAAAATCATCTGAAAATCCTTTGAAGAATGGAGGTATACCAAAGCAATATTGGATGAATGATGCATTTGTATCCGATTGCCTTAATTGTTTCAAACCTTTTACAGCTTTCAGGCGGAAACATCATTGTCGCTTCTGTGGTCAAATATACTGCTCAGACTGTACTTTATTCATATCATACACAAGGCATAAAGAAGAAAGAAAGATGGGCAAAAAGTCAGACAAAAGACATTTTAATGATAAATTAAGAGTATGCAAAGGTTGCTATAACGATGTAATTGTTTACTTAAGCGACGACTCGTCGTCTTCTTCATCTAATTCGGATTATGATTCAGAAGTCGTAATTATTGAAGAAAATGAAAACCTGGAAGAGGTCCCAAGTCCCCAACTCCAATTGTCAAGAATACGCTCTCTATCAATTAGTTCAAGACGTGATAGTTTGATTAATGAAGCGAATATAAAGAATGCAAACAAAAGTTTCATAAATAAAGACTATAAATCAATCTTAGATAAAGCAAACAACTCGATAACAGAATATCCAGGCAATGATGATGCGGATTACTCAATAAATTTTCGCAAACATTCTTATCCAGCTAACGTTGATTCGAATAATATGAAGCCATATATTAAGCAGGCGCCTCAAATGGCAATCCCAGCCACAAGAAAAGGGGAGGCTGTTGAAATTCCTATCCCTAAAAGCTCGTATACAAATAGTATATTATCCCATAATATAATAGGTGATGCGCATTTTACTCAAAGTCCAAATAATGAGCCGCTTGGCTACAATAATACTTCGTGGTTTAAGAACTATACACATTTAAAAGCCTATAACCTACCATCATCTTCCGAATCTAAATCCAATAGTTTTAATAGTCATATGTATAACCCATTCTTGGGGAAAAGAAAAATTAATAGATATAGCAAACCTTCTTCGGACCAGCATGACTATCATTCTATGAAAACAAGAAACAAAAGATCAGAATTAATCCTGCAGAGTGACATAGATACGGAAACTAGTAATGAAGAAGATGAAGGCAATAATGAAGATATCGAGAGTGAAAACGAAGATGAACAAGTCATGTCGTTATATTCTTCTTTGAATCACATTGATTCTAATAATTCGACTACCACTTCCGCTTTATCACCTCGTCAACCTGGATCGCATACGCTTATTCTGTCAAATACCGCCGTTCCTACTTTGGGTGAATTTCCAACTATGTTTGCAAATGAGAAATTATTCCAGAGAAATTTTACAAAGCGTAACTCGAAATCATCGCCTTTGGTCTCTAAGCTTTTTCAAAATAGTACCAGCTCTATTGGAAGTGGTAATATCAGTAACTCTAATGATTCACATAGCAATGGCCAATCTTCATTCCCATTTCTCGATGAAAAGCCCAATGATAGTTTAAGATCTCATGAACGGGCACATGCATCTCTATTAAGAATGAGGTCAAGGCGTAAGAGCAAGTCGGCGAGGAACGTTCTGATTTTAACCCATAATAATAATAAGCTTCAGGGCCTTGATACATCCCTTATTCAATACCAATCTCCAATTTCAACACCTACCTCACCAAGACCCACTTCTCAAACATCATCAAACATGGCATCGAACTTAACTAAAGGCTTATCAAACGACGATACACCAACATTTATAGGGAATTCCAAACCTTACTTATCTGCTTCTAGTGTACCTATCTTATCCGAGTCATCACCAACGCAAACCATTTCACCTAATATACCTAAGAATGAACCGACTAGTGGTATTAGCAAAAGCCTATCGAGCAAAACTGCTAGAAGCTCTTCTACGGATATTGCAGATACTGCAAGTATTCGCAAAGATATTTTATCCGTAAATGACATACCTAGCATCGATTTTAAGCCTAAAGAACTTATATACAGAGATTTCTTGGATACTATGATGAAGCAGTGTTTGGAGGATTGTGAAATTAAAGAAGACCAAGAGAGATGGTGCAAAGCACTAAAGAAAGTTCTCTCCTACATCAACTATATCAAATTGACCGATACAATAGACATTAGGCAATATGTAAAAATCAAGAAAATTCTAGGTGGAACAATTGAAGAAACTAATGTTATTGATGGTATGTTTGCAACAAAAAATATAGATTCCAAGAGAATGTCTTCAAAAATTGAAAACCCGAAAATAGCATTGCTAATGTTTCCCTTAGAATATTTGAAACAAAAGGAGCAGTTCATTAGTTTAAGAATAGTTCATTCTCAGCAATCGGTTTATATAACTAACTTAGTTTCTCGTCTAATAGCGTTGGAACCAGACATTATTATTGTGGGCGATTCTGTTTGCGGTTTTGCAGAAAAGCTATTGCTTGAGGCAAATATAACTGTGATTTCAAATACAAAACCACAAGTTATTGAAAGAATCTCTCGGTACACCAAAGCAAATATTTTTCAATCGATTAATGATTTATTTTTTAAAAAGGGTCATTGGGCACTTGTGAGAAGTTTGAGGTAAGAAAGTACTTGTATGACAACGTTGTGAAGAGCTTTATTTTCTTCACTGGTGGTGACATTGAATCTGGTTTTACTATTGCTTTAAGAGGCGGTGAAGAAAACGTTTTGAATAGTGTAAAGTATACTGCTGAGACGTTAGTTATTGGTGTTCTAAATTCTAAATTTGAAATTAGCCTTTTGGAAAATCATGGTATATCAATTTTAGATAAAAGCCACGATCTCTCTAATGCAGACATGGCACTTCAAGAAATTCAAAAAATTGAAGATGAAAGGAATGCCAATAATCTAAATGAGAATAATGCCTGTGAAATAATTATGGACAATTTGGAAGTTACACATTATGTCAAGATTTTCTCTGAAAGGTCATTAAGTGTATCACCAGCTGTGACAGTTGAATTACCTAGTGCTTTGGTCAATGTGATTGCTTCTTATAAAAGGTTTTTTGAGTTTTTCAAGACAGATACAATGATACAATCGTTAGATCTTCATAAAGATATTGAACAAGACTGGTTGAATGAATTGAACTTAGATATCGATATTACTCGACTTCCAAATGAGAAGCTTGATTTGATAAATATATTAAAATACGCAAGTGAATTCAATTTAAAGGTTTTGACAAATGAATTTCAATCTAGGGCGAGAATTTGGTCTAATTGCATGACATTTCCGTCATATCAGTTGTATCCCGTGTTTCATAAGAGTATTCATTTTTTGCATTCAACAGTATCCATAAAATATGCTACACCTTGCTCAGGGCCTAGCACTGTTGTTATTGATTACTATACTGATAATGATAAATGTCTAGGCTTATTTCTAGATCAAATCTTCCGTGACTCCTTAAAAACATGTGACGAATGTGGCGATTCTTTATTGAATCATTATAAAACATATGTACATGGTAATGTTAAGTTGGATGTTATCATTGAGAAATATGAAAATGTGTTTAATGAAGATTTACAAGAAAAAAATCAAAGGTTAATGTGGAGCTCTTGCAAAATTTGTGATTATTCTAGTCCTATAAAAACCATGAACGACGAAACTTACTATTTATCTGTGGGAAAATTTTTAGAATTATGCTTTGGAGCTGAAAATGTTACATTGACTCATTCTGCATGCAATCACGATTTCTTTAAGCAGCACATAAGGTATTTTGCTTTGAACGACTCTGTAATAAGAATGGAATATTCTGATATTGATACTTATGAAGTTGTTGTACCTAAGAAGCAATTGGAATACTTACCAGATATAGATATTAAGTTGAAAATTGAAACATTTAATCAAATTCAAAAGAAATCGGCAAATTTTTTTCAAAGTATATCTAATAGACTTAATAGGGTTAAAGTAGATACTTTCGATAAAGCGGATGATGGGATGCAGAAAGTTGAAGAGTTAAAAATAAAACTTGATGAACAGGTTGATTCAGTCAAATCGAAAACTCTTGAAATTTATAATTCAACCTTATCTACAATTCATCTTCCTCTAAATTCCGTTTTGCGAGAATTACAAGAGCTAGGGGTTATATGGGATAATGAGTTCAACGAGTTTGAAAAAAGCTTTTTACCTACTGAAAACGAAATCACGAAGATTACCCAATTTCATTTGAAGAAATTTTTAATGGACAAATACAATTCGGAAGGTCAAAATAAGGAAACAGAAATAAGTGATATAAAGAAACGTGATGCAACGAAGGATAATAATGCTGATGAAACAGAAACAGACTCAGAAATAGATACGGGAACAAAAATTTTGAACAATGAAAAAAAAATACTTAAAGATTCAATTCAGGAAGATAGGAAAGGATTCCCTGATACCTCTTTGAATAAAGAAAAAACTAAAGAAATTGGCAAAATGATTCCATCGTCATTATATGGCCAGTCCAATGTTGTTGATAAAATCAATAAAATGGAAGCTTTATTAGAAAGTGAAAGAAAATCGCAAGATAAAGATACCAAATCTCTGAATAAGAAAACAACCCCATTAAATACGAAATCTCCTCAAGTATCTACTCCTACAGGGAGTGACAAGCAATTGACAATTGAAGATCAATCAACTATCCAAGAGCAACCCCAAAATAAGGTGTCTCAGATTGCCAATTTCTTCAACCAAATGAACTTTGATCAAATTTCTATGGAGTTTAGAAAGCAAAGAGAAGAGGAGCTACAGAAGAAGCTAAACAAATTCAAGGCTTTACCCATTGTAGCGTCAAAACCAATTGTTGAAATTTATGATAAAATTGAGGACGTAGTAGATGTTAATGATGAAAATGATCTAGATAAGAAAAACTTAAAAAGATTGCACAAAAAATCTCCAAGTCAGGAACCTGGTTCAGGTAAGGTTCTGCCTGCCCTTAAAGATCCAGAAGTAGTCGGATCGTCTTATAAAACCGACGAGGGAAAGGTTCAAAATAAAGAAAAGGAAAAAGATAAAAACAAAGATGTTAAAAACCTAGACATACCACAGCCAGAGAAGAATTCTTTATTAAAATCATTAACAAACTTCTGGGCTGATAGATCTGCCACATTGTGGGACCCATTGGAGTACCCGTTGGATTCAAGTGAACACACGTTTGCGGACTCCGATGTTATCGTAAGAGAAGATGAACCAAGTTCGTTAGTTGCTTTTTGCTTATCTTCTCACGATTATAAACAGAAAATAAAATCAATGGGAGAGAACACTACAGATGAGAACATAGAAATCAATGAAACTAACAATAAAAAGTTCAAGAATTTCACCAAAATTGAGAAGAAATTCAAAACAAATTATGGCAGTGGGGCCAGACTAAACGAATTCGAGAGTATTATGATCAAAAATAAGTCGAATCATTTAAAATACCAATATTTGGATGGTAATACTAACTTATCTTGTAAAATATTCTACTCAGAACAGTTCGATGCGTTCCGTAAGGCTTGTGGAAACGACGAGACGTTTATTCAAAGCTTATCTCGTTGCGTCAAGTGGAATTCTAGTGGAGGAAAAAGTGGATCCAATTTCTTAAAAACACTTGATGCTAGGTACATCTTGAAAGAACTTTCAAAGTCAGAACTTGAGTCCTTCGTGTCTATTGCACCCTTCTACTTTAAATACATTTCGCAGTCGATGTTTCACACTCTTACTACTGCTGTGGCTAAGATCTTTGGTTTCTACCAGATACAGATCAAAAACACCATCACGGGAAAAACGTTTAAGATGGACTTCCTCATTATGGAGAATTTATTTTACAACCATAATACGACCCGTATTTTTGATCTCAAAGGCTCCATGAGGAATAGACACGTCAAACAAACAGGAGAGGAGAACGAAGTTCTCCTCGACGAAAACATGATTGAATACATCTACGAATCGCCAGTCTTTGTCAAAGAACATCTGAAAAAATTACTTCGCGGCTCATTATTTAATGATACCTCCTTTCTCTCAGCCATGGATGTCATGGACTATTCGTTAATCATCGGAATTGATGATTCGTCAAAGAAGCTCTACATAGGTATAATAGATTGGTTAAGAACTTTTACATGGGACAAGAAGGTCGAAAATTGGGTTAAGGGAAACAATTTAATTGGAGGAGGTAAAAAAGGTAAAGATCCTACAATTGTTACCCCTAAACAGTACAGGACCAGATTTAGGGAGGCTATGGAGAGATATATTTTGGAAGTTCCCGACTTTTGGTATGAAGGAAAATAATTTTTCAAATCGCGTCTTTACCAATAACGTGCTGTACAGCCGTATAAAAATAATCTGATTGAAAATTGACACCTTAGCATAACGTTCAGGAGGAATATACGAACATCGGGTAATTTCTTGATATATTTAATATAGTAAAGGTGATTTATAAGTTATATACAATATAGTAAAGAAAATATCGAATCAATCAGATAGTTTCAAGAATTAGTACTAATCAAATCACAGTTAATCAACATATAAACAATCGCTACACTCGTTATCTATTATGGCTTTCCATTTGAGTTTTAACTCAATATCTTTCATTTTGATGTTGGTCACGGTCGTTTTTTTGGTATTGTCATGTATCACGTCACCGGTAACGTCGTTTAGTCTAGGTAGTACATCAAGCTACAAATATGGGATATTTGGGTACTGCCAGAACTCAGGATCATGCTCGAGTGCAGGATATCCTTACCAGCTCAGTAATCTTGATAGATCCGCCAAATGGTTTTTAGCACGTTCTACAAGAGATACTTTAGCTAAGGTGTTTATTTTATGTCCTATTGCTGCAGGACTTTCGTTTATCTGCTTAGTGTTTATTTTGTTATCCCATTTTTTGTCGACAGGGATGATTATTTTGACACTTATTTTGAATATTTTGAGTTTTATCGCGACCGCCATAATTTGTGTTATGGTGATCATTACGTTTCATCCGTACGTTGATTGGGCTGGATGGATTCTTGTGGGTGCTGCTGCTGCTAGTTTGATTTCAGTCGCGTTAATGATTGCTACATTGTTCCATAGGAGACCAGACGCAAGTGATGATGACGACGGTGATGAAGTTGATCTCACTAAATTTGACAATAACTTTAACACAGCTGGCGGAATTAGTCTTACTAATCCACACGACGAAACAAGTTCTCTCAGTAAAGATTACCAATTCAAGGTTCAAAGACCCCCTCAACAAAATGTAATGGGATCCAGTGTCAGTAGTTCTAGTGTTTATGAGTCGCCACAATCTGCACACGATTTTACTATGCAAAATAAGCAATCGAGTGCGTCGCTTAATGGTAATCAAGGTAAGAAACCGTACTACGATGATGCTGCTGTTAATTTGGTGAATGGTCCAAATACTCCCATTCAAACAAGACAGCAAATGGCACCAAACGTAGTACCAACAACTGCAACTCCCACAATGAACGATGCGCCTATGTCGACCATTCCCCAATTACCTTATCCTAATAATTCACCTTTGAATAAGCCAGCTTATAATCCAACTGATTTAAGTGTCTTTGAACATCATCCGGTTGTCGAGGGCCACAAGCCTTTCACTGAACTTCCAGATGATGGTGTGAACCAGCACCAGTTCCATAGATCTGATGAATTAGATTCAGATGTGGATTCAGATTTCACAAGTGTCTCGCAAAGGGCTATCAATCCAAAGTATAATCCCCATCAAACCGAGCAATCGTATGGACAATATCCTCAACTGCAACATTATCAACCTCAATTTCAACAAAACCAAACGTCAATGCCACCTCCAAATGCCCAACAGCAATATTATTCTCCTCAACCACAATTTTATCCGCAAGGTCAAGCTCCGGGTGCCAGACCTGCTCCAGTCCAAAAGAGACCAACTGTATCAGACAATGTTTTATCAAATAATCCTGATTTTTCATTAGGATTAGGGGGAGCTAAGCGTAAGGGAGGTTATCAAAATAGACCTGCCGGTACTAGACCATTTGGCAATATGCCTCCTGGTGGAAGACCTGTTGCTAATAGGCCCCCTCCTAATAGGTATAATCAACCGCAGCTGTCTTTCCCTCAGCAAAACGCCAGATCTAATGATAGACCTACAGCCTCTAAAGATAGTCCATATGGAATGATCTAAATTTAATTTCAATTCTTAGCCTTGTTTTCCTACGTTTTAGTTCGGATAGACTATATCTAACTATGTTTTTTTTCTTAAGTTCCTTTGTATTATTAGATTCTTTATAAATATGGGGTTTGATATTCTTCTAGCATCTGTTAAAGTATATTGACTTACATTAAAGCGGGCTTATATAGTTATTTTCATTTACATAAATTAAAAATACACGTTTATCTTATATCATATGAACTTGTAGAGACCATCATCAATATTAGCATTTGAATTATCTTTAGCATTTTCATCCTTCATCCCTGATGATGAGTCTTCGGGATTATTTATAGTGGGCCTATCTTCGGGATTAGTATCAGGCGGTGGTTTCTCGACTACTTTTGTTTTACCGTGAGGTTTAACAAGGACGATAATGAACAATGCAAAAACAATCAAGGATAACAAAAATATTAATTTACATTTTGTTGTTCTCTTTTGATAACCTTGAGCTTTTACTAACTCTTTCTCGGAACTCTTCAAATCTTGTGCAGTGTTTGCTATATTATAATCAATTCTATCTAGTATACTTCCCTGGTCAATTACCATACTCTCCATTTCCTTGAAAATAGTTGATATTTCCAAAATACCCATGGCAAGTTTTGAAATTTCTCGTTCCCTAGTCTGAAGAAATTGTGAATTTGATGAATGTATTTGAGTTTGTTGTAGTATTTGCTTGGAATAATTTTCAATATTTCGAGACTCTTCCTCGTTCTCAATTAAATTAAATTGGTCTTTATTAGAATCATTGATCAATGTGTCTGTTTCATCTTCGTCATCCTTTAAGAATTTTATATAATTATTTTGCAAATTTCTAAAGATCAATGAACTTTCCTGGATCTTCAATGCATAATTTTTCTTGAACGATTCAATAATCGATATCTCATTATTAGAATAATCTAAATTCAATTTACCATGGTTCTTCTGTAAAAATTCAAACTTCTTGATCAACACATACGACCCTTCAAACTTCTTTGTTATATCATAATTCAAATTTTCGATCTTATTTTCAATTGCTTGTTTCTCGTTATAATTAGTTATTAATAATTTTTTATATAATGAATTCAATTCACTGGTCTTTCCTTTTATTTGCAATAAATTGTCATCAATTTCTTTCGAAATATCAAAGATCGATGGCGGTAAGGCCTTCATTTCTATAGAGTCATTGTTATCTTGATATCGTTGCCTTCTATCACTTCTTCTAGATTCAATCAATCCTTCTTCTTCTTCCACCAAAGACTCAAATCGTCTGTCATTTCGGGGCAAACTACGTGGAACCGTACGACGATATGATAAAAATAAGTTTGTTCTATCTCTAAACATCACTATCTAATAGCTCTTATTAATATCTACTCCTTTTACATACAACTTCAATAATCTTTCTAACTGTATTTGATCCTGTATATAACGAGTAAAGGTATTTTTAATTCTATAGTACTATTTATTGCAAAATGTTCATTTCTTGTCCTTAGACTTCTTCAGCAAGAAAGGAACGTTCAAATTCAAACTTGGAGTTGTTTTCTTTGGGAAACTGGATCCCAATATGGCAGCATTCCTATCAGATGCACTACTGGATGGTTTTGTTATGCTTGTACTGGAGCTAGAATGGTTATGATGTAATAGATGCGGAGGTAAGTCGTGGGTTTTAAAACCCGGAGACGATGATATTGGCGTATTTGATGATGATCCACTGTTGCTGTGAACACTCTTTTTAGACGATGTCCGCGATAAACTTCCTGGTGACAGAGGCAATGCGGCAAGATTTGAAGATGAAACATTACGAGAATTCGAAGGAGATGAATTCAATGAGGAACCTCTTGAGCCATAAGATGACAATCCTTTTAGATTTAGGTTACTCGAGCCTCTGGAAAGAAGCAGTCTATTTTTCTGATTGGAGTTATTCAGAGGTGAATTAGAATCTACTCCTCTTCTATTCATGTCAGATAAATTAATATTCGACCCTGGTAGTGGCGGCTCATACGCAGGTGATAATGCATCTTCATTCACATCAGACCTCATTGCTTGAGTATAGGATGGTACTCTAGATAAAGTTCTCGAATCCAAATTCGTTTCAGAATTAACTCTAGACAAATGAACTGGAGGTGAGGTAATTCCTGGGCTTTGTAATTGATTATATGTTGTGGATGGTGACGACGTACTTAATGGTGTTCTTGACCTAGAAAAATAGTCGCCTTGGCTATTGTTTTCGCCTATATTGAAAACTGCTCTATCTCTGGAAGAACTTCCAGGAGTTTGTGCCGAATTTTGTGGCGAATCATCTCCAGACTCTTGTAGTTGTCTTTGTAGGCTTAAAGCCCTTAAATTTTCATTCAATTGAACGCTGTCCAATGGAGACATAGAAAATTGATCACGTACATCACCCTGATCTTGATTATCATTAGAAATGTAGTTGCTATATCTTGGAGTCGACGACCCGGAATTCAAAGGTGATTCGACTGGTGAAATATCAGACCATAATCTATCATAAATATGCTGTTCATAAACAGGGGGAGCCATCAACCCATTGAATGACGTATAAGAATTTGGATTAGATGTTAGCCTATTGTCACTCGAAATTTCATTATTGGGAGATGAATTCAATGATCTCAAACTTGTATGACTGCCATTATTTGAGGAAAATAATAATTCTTCATCATCATAATTCGAAGTTTCGTCGTGACTGCGTGCATCCTCGTCTTGATCGCAATATTTAGCTCTAATAGATACGAATGGCGAAATAAATAACTGAACTGGTAACGACGCTCTTAATTCAGAGACATGATTATCGGGGTTAATTAACCCAATGGTGAATTTCAATTTATGACGAACTTTAATGAAATTTTGAATATCACAGTCTTGAGTACATTTGGATAAACTATCAGGAATTTTCAAGTAATTATCAATTTCCCATTTATCCATTTGGAAATGAGGATCATTTTCATTTGGTTTGGAAATAACTTTCGATGCAACTATTCTTTCTTCTGAGTGTGCTGGGGGTAAATATCCAATACACGATGAATATTCAACTAATTGAATTTTTATTTCACCTAACTGTAAACCTTTCAATAAAGGCACAAGCATAAAGCTAATCGGAATGTTGGAGCCTATTGCAATGGCCTTGGAAGGAACATTCAAGGAGTATTCAACTTTTTTAGGCCACGTATTGTCAACAGCTACTGTTTCAGAAAGCTCAACAGCATCTGTCGTTAAAGTCCTTAATACTCTCAAATGCTTTTTAGTAACCATGTTATTATGAAACTTACCCCTGTCGATTGTAGCTTCTAATTTATAAACAACTGATGCTCCAGGTAAACCTTCTACTGATTCTGGCATGTCTCCAGGTAATACAGCACTAAAAGGAAATTCATAATTACCCTGAACCAAAATATGGTTAGATTTAGTATTGAGACTTGATGTTGAATCAGCGTGCGTCAAAGAAGGAAAACTTAAGTTGCTTAAGTTGCTAGAAGATTTTGATTTTCTAGAGTACGCTAAATTCTTTAAGGCTGTACTAGAGTGATTTGGCGATCTGTTAATTCCAATAGGCTTAGTAGAATTCGAGTTTTCATACATATTGCTCAAATATCGGTTGATTTCCATATCATCCCAATTATACTCATATAGCTTTTTCTCAAATTTGTATGGCTTGCCCTGATAATTTCTAACATTATTCACAGGGTCCATGTTATGTATTCTCAATGTAGAATATAACCTTAAGGATAACCTTTTCACAGTCAACGGTTCATTTACGGATAATGCTATCTTTCCTGATAATAATACCGAAGCTGCATCATGTTCAGTACCTTTCAATACTAATAGATCGTGATCGGTATTCTTTAATCGAATATCAAACAACGACGCTTGCTTGAATTGGCCTGCTTGCTTCTTACCCATAATGTGTTGTTTTGATCCTATCAACCATGGGTCAAAATATAACCTATTTATCTCTCAAGTCCCTTCTTTAGTATTCAGCTGTCGATTGTATCACGTGATCAGATGATTCGGAAAAATTTCTTTTCATTTTTATCCGGATTAGGTAATTGTAAGATCTTCGGAAAAACTCACATTCAAATATCGTATCTTAATTTTTGATTCCTACGCTACAGTTATCCAGAATGTTACATTCTACGTACTAAAAGTAAATATTGTTCTACATATTTGATTTACTAATATTTAATTATCCTAAAATGTTTTCGAAATTTGAAATTTTGAAGTCTTCTGTAGGTTTAGATAAGAGGTGCAATATAGCCTATCTTTTAAAATGTAGCGATATAATTTGTCAAAGATTGCGCCTATGTTTTATCTGTTCACCCTATACATATTGAAATTTCTGCACAGAATACAAGAAAACTTTTACAAGAAGGTCCAATAGAATTTCCTTTTTGTGTAATGTTCCAAAAATAATTGCAATCTAGTGCCTTACGCGTGAGTGATGGCCATTTGTACTCAATCCAAATTAAAACTATGAACTATAAGATATCATAATAAACCCTTAACAGAATTATTGCAGAGATTTGTAATTTATCGTGCAAGTACTACGAAAGTTCATACCAGCTGCATTATTCTGCCGTTCGTAAGCTTTATACGTATTCCATTATATAGCAAGAATTGGCCTTGTTTGAATGGAGTGCGTATGTAATATAATACTAGAACATGAATATGGCGGCCAGCCAGAAATTTCAACCTTTAATCTCTATTGTCTCTTAGTAGTCCATTATTTGATAGGAATTTAAAGCTATACGTTCGCAATTACAATAGTATTAACGGGAAACACCCGTCAATTGTCAAGCCCTAAAAAATAAGCCTGCAAGCGTTGATGTACCTTTTAAGTCGTTAAGGTACCTTAACAAGCCCCCTGAACATCACCTTTCTAACTATCGTCAATTAGCCTCGAATTGTTGCAATCTATTTTAGGATACCTCTTGATATTTATGCAGAAACGTCACGTGATATGCATAAAATTGCAAAAAAGAGACCTCAGCCAGCCATTCAACCAGCTTCAAGAGGAATATTAGATGGTACAAACCAGCGTTCAGCTGGAAACTACAGTCGCTTGAAGATATATGTGTCTGAAAGGGGACCTCTCAAAGTTTATTTAACAATTAAGAAATTTTAAATGGCTGGATGAATAATCCTGAGATATATATATATATAAGTGTCCATTTTATTCACTACTAATAACAGATAGCTTTTTTTTCAAGTTAGCTATAAATAACTAATTTATAACTGTATATTTTGACAGTACTATCTATAGTACCAACGCTCTTTAATTAACAGCGTTCGAGCATTAATACAGTGGATTCATTAAATTGAAGAATCACTTACAACTCACCCTAGTCGATCATTAATTATTGTACTTGTTGTTTCTTCACCTTCACTTCTTTAAATTAGATATTTAACTCCAGGTTATCATATTTTATGTGTCATAATTCTAAATTGCATTTTACAAGTCACCTCCATTCAAATTATGAACATCACACCAGTTTCAAGAAACACAACTGAACCTTTAGCTTGCATCAAAAATATTAACAATCATATATATGATTATAGTCCTTCTAATGAAGAGCCTAAGTATTTGAAAAGGTGTAAGTCTCAATCTACAACAAAGCTATCTAGACAATTACCAAGGACACCATCAAATAAATATCATGCAAGAAGCAAAAGAAGGACCAACTCAACTACACCACCAATAAGCTTGAATATACCATCCAGTCCTTTCATCTATCTGGAGTTTTCATTAAACTCATCCGGTTCTGACTCTTCTGATTTAGAATCATTGTCTGATTTATATGAGGACAAAGATACGCCATTTTCATCTCCCATAAACCGAAATCCTTTGACACCTAATGATTCATTTTTTTCGTTTACACACAAAGCTGTACCGGTGGAATCATTACTACCAAAGCGTACCCAAATAAGTATATTTGAAATACCAGAAATTGTCAACAAGATAATTGAATTTGCTGATATTCAAAATACAGTTGTTCCTCAAGAAAGTACACCAGTCAGAAGAAAACCTTTATCAAGCAATCATGCTCTTTTAATTTATGGAAATAAGCATCAAGCAGATTTATCTATGCAAGTCCACTCTACACAGCATAACAATAATAATAATGGAGTCTTGTTCAACTGCTTACAGGTCAACAAACTTTTTAATCAAGTTACAAATGAAGTTCTCAGTCAAAAACTATTCTTCAATGATGAAAGAAAACTTCATGGCTATCTTCAAAATTTAAAAGTAAGTCAACTGAAATCAAAGCCTTCGCTTTTTGTTTTCCACAAATTATTCCACGCAAAGCAAGATATTATTGAACTAATCAAGAATCATATGGATTTTGCAAATTTACAATGGCTTGAATTTTACATGTGTCCTAAACTTTTACCGACTGCAGAATTTTTTCTATATGGTTCAAATATTAAGAAAATAGTAATTACAGGATCCAAAGTAATTGACGATGGGTTTTTATCTATGGTCGCTAAAAAGTGCCCCAACCTAGAAGTATTAGATATACGTGCATGTGAGTTGATTTCTGATTCAGGTATCTATCAGATAGCAAAACAGTGTAGGAATTTAACTACTGTCAATTTTGGGAGGAAAAACAAAGGGAATTTAATTACTGATTCCAGTCTTTGCATGTTGATTCGTAACAACCCTAATTTGGACACTGTGGGTCTTGCTGGATGTCATATTACTGACAAAACTTTATGGGACCTTGCAGTCAGATGCAGTGACAGTTTGCAAAGACTATCCTTAAACAACTGCCCTTACATAACTAACCAATCTATCCCCTTGATTCTCCATAGTAATCTATTCAAAAACTTATCTGTGTTAGAATTACGTTTTGCTAACCAAATCACTAATTTCAAACCAATCATAGAATTTAAGAGAAGACAAGAGTTCAGAGGGGTTTCAATCTTAATTGAAGTATGTGAGAGTTTATGTTTGTTGATGAGAGAACAGGAATTAGAAATGGACAAAGTAATTTCGCAACGTATTTTTGAAGATATATCGTATTGGGCAAATGACAATAACGATGGAGATTTACCATATGAGCAGTTTGTAAATCGAAGAAGACTTAAGTAATAGCATAGAATATAGAAACCTACTTAATTAATAACATAATAATGAATTTTTGTAATATACAATAGCATGTTCTCGGGTAAATTCCTATTTAGTCGACTGGTCCGTCTATTGAAGTTTCATCTCGATTTGGAAATTCTCATAATAAATACAATACATATTCTTAGATGCTGCCGCTCTGATTGTTTTTAAACGGCAAAACATTTTAACACGATAATACCTTTTACATAAGAGAATAGTTAGTCAAAACTTCCAACTTAATTTATCTTGCTTTCTTTTTTGTCTGTACGGTATCAAGAGATTTAACTTATTAGGTTAATATTGCGAATCTTGCAATGAATAGAACATGTCTTCTATAAATCTAGTTAATAATTCGATATTGGCATCAGCTAGGCAAGAAAATAATAAATCAAACAATTTTATACTATCAACTGAAGAGTTCCCCGATGCTTCACGTATAAATCAATTCAAACCAGCATTTTCTAGAAAGAGCACTATATTGCAAAAACAAGCATCATTCATTCAAAATTCAAGGGATAATAACTTGAAGTCATTGAAGCACCAACCTTCCAAGCTTGACCTCATAGATGATACGAAATTGACATCTCTTCCATTGCCACCCCCACCTAAAACTAGAAACTCTTGTTCTCAACCCGACGCTGATGCTGAACATGGCATAAGATGTTCCGAATCAGTTACAACCTATAATATAGACGATGAATACGATGAAGAAATCGAGGAAAGTGAAGATCCAATAGTCTTGGTGGAAGATTACATGACTAGTGAAACTATTATTTGTTCGAATAATCAGAAACACATTAATAAGAAGGACTCGTTGGCTATATTCAAGGATCGCATATATCAAAACGAAGATAATCCTAGCATATCTACAACCTCTGCGATCTCAACTATAACTAGTGACTTTAATGTTACCAAAATTCCTTTGAAAATAAGTTGTGTGTCGAAGGAAACCATGACAAAGACAAAAATTACAAGAAAAGAACAAGATCTTGAAGAGATATTTGGTAAGATACCAGGAAGTGACTCCTTAAAGTATTGTGACTTATGCGAAAAGCCATTATATGAAATCAGCTCCTTGATAGATAATAAAATTGAAACTTCCTTGGAGCGACCCACAGATGAATCTTTGTACAAGGAAGATACCCGCTTGTATAGTGAATTTGTTTGCTGGGAATGTGTTGAGACTTACGAAGAGTTTTTTAATGAGTTATGTGCAAATGAATTGTATCCTTATACTAATGATGTGGTGAATGATACCTCGAAAGACTGTATTAAATTATTTGAAATATTTCAGGATATCAAGAGTAAATACAATATTGACTCTTACATCGAAACAAAATTGAATAAGCAGGAAAATTTACCTTTTTCTTCTAATTTAATTCAAAAATTGAATCAATTGAAAGGAGGTAATAGCTCAATTCCTTTAAAATTATATAATGGGTCCGAAACATTTGATTGGATAAAATACTTACAATACCAGTTACGATGGAGATGGCGAATAGCAGGTCTAATTCCAAATGCCTTCAGATCTGACCCTAATCAAACTTAGTATATAGATCGTTGACTACGTTTTCTAATAGCATAATAACAGCATAGCAAATTTTAAATCCTGTATATAAAATTAGAATATGATTTGAATAGTACTGAGTTCATCTCATACCACAACTACTTGTAAACGATATCAAAATGGCTAAAATAATACAGAGTAACATGTTATTCGTCCGTCCCTTTAGTAGTAGTACCCAATTATGCTCGCGAAAATTACGAAATTTTGATAAGGCTTTGTCATTAGAAGAATTTATGTTTCGAGCAAAAGTTAAATCTACATACAGAAAGCTAGTCAGAATAATATATCGAACTCATGAGAGAGAAGAACTTCTAAGATATGCTAAGATTGAATTTACTATGAATAATCAAGTGTCTGATTTGTCACAAAGGAGATACCTTTTAAATGACGGGGTTAATAAGATTAATCAAATGTTGGCAATGATGAATTTGCAAGGAAGTAAACTTTCTAACGACTAAGTCACACAGTTGAATTTATTATAATAATTATTTATCTAGATATAGAGGAATCGTCATTATAGTCTTAGGTTAGAAATTGAGGCCTCGTGGATTGAATTCTCAATGATTTGAAACGTTTCGTTCACGAAATTTGTATCAAGATCTAAATTGTCATCAAATTGAAAGTTTTCAGTTTTCAATTCATTCAATTTATTGACTTGAAGTTTTTTGCAATTCAAAGATTTCAAGTCAGAAATTAACGTTTTGTTTATTGAGCTTAAATTCTTCGAAAATTCAAATCTGCTTAATTGATTGAGAATCTTAGATAAGTCAACTAAATTAATCAAAATATAATTTACCTCCCATGATAATATGCATTCAGTGGAATTAATTAAGGAATTAATTTTATCCATTTTCAAGTTCTTGATTAAGAATTTTTCAATAGATTCGTTTTCTTTTGGATTGTCGAATTTAATGTATTTAAACACGCTTAGATAGACTTTAAAAAGCCATTTTTCAAAAGTGCTTAATTGGCTCAAATAAGAATTGTTGTTCATATACTTGTTGAACAATTTGAAAAACTTCAAAGAATTGCTATTATTGATATTAAGGACAATTAACTCTTTAATATAATTCAATTTCATATATTCCTCGCCGTATTTTGGTCCCAAATCCAATAGCCCTTCCAGTAAAGGTTCATTTACCCCAAACTTCCAGTGTATTTTCTTATCTCTGTTATCAGAAACATGAAATGATTCATTTAATAAGCTGATTTCATAACTTCTAAGATTCTGACTAAAATAATTATAGTAATTATTATCATTAGTAATTCTAGATATTTTTAAAATCTCCAATAATAGATTGTGTTTACTAATGGATTTGTTCATTTTTTCACCAAATTGTAAGAAGTTTTCTAATTTATTATATATTTCCTTTTGGAAACCAAGCATTATGTTGTCGTTAACTTCATATTCAGCCGTTAAATAAAACCTGTAGATGTTGATTAGAAAATTCAAGCTAGTCTTCGAAGGGAAGCAATTTCTCTGGATCAAATAATGACTTAAGGTATCGTGTTGTATCATTTTTATATTTAACTTTTGATAATGCAAAAACGCTAAAGACTGACAATTCAAATAAGAATATAATTTAATTTGCCATAATTTTAAATTGAAATTGCATTTGTCGTCTATCAATAACTTTTCTATTATACAAATACTCTTGAGGATATTTTCAATTTTATTGTTCTCTTTCAATTCTAATATAATATTAATTAGAATTAATTCATGGGCAGGGTAGAAATCTGTCAGTTCTTTGACTTTTAATAAATTCTTAAATTGTCCATAAATTTCCCAATTCTCAGTGTAAAAGTTTCCATCATTAATACCAAACAACAACTTGAATTTTTGATTATTTACTAAAGCAATCAATGTATTAATATTTCTCTGTGATGAACTTTTTAACTTGGTGGACGATTCCTCAATCAATTTTATGAAGTTTTCTGTGTTGAAAGCTTTATAATAGTACTTCAAGTCGTTGAAGCAGCACGATTTATGATTGAATTGATTATAATAATCAAAGACAAATTCATCCATTGACACTTTATATACTTCAGCCATTTCAACTAATGCCAATGCAGAGTTTCTTGATTTGGGGTGGCTTGTAATAGTTTGTCTTAAGTCTAATAGAGGGGTGTTATTCTTGTAGGATGAACTTATTAAATACTTCCAAGTATCAAAATCGTTGAACTTCTCTTCAAAAATTAACTGATTGGAATATGAATATAGACTATCCCATTTTTCCAAAATGTTTAAAATGTCCAAGTAAATTAATTTCAATTCCAAATCAAGTACATGATCTGACTTATAATTGAGTAAAAAAGACTCAATTTCTGAAAACTCTTTTAGATTGTATAATAATTTCACGTAAACAAATACTTCTTGTGTGGTTTCTAACGGTTGAATGTTTTCAAGCAACTTCAACCCTAATTTATTAAAAAGTAAACTCTCCTTAGAATCATCAGAATTGTTACTTAAAATCAAACAAGCTAAACTTGACCATATTGAATATGAACGATTTGATTTGTTAACCTTCTGTAGATTCATGGTAGATTTTTGAAGAGCTCTTAAATCAAAGTTCTTGAGAGAGGTTTCAAACCAACTAGAAATAATGGACTGGGTAGGGTATTTTTTCACTGCATTTTCGTAAACAAGACTAGCTTCTTTAGGCCGCCCTGCTTTATTGAAAATTGTGTATAATAAACCAAGAGTTTTTGGATCATTGGGAACTTTCGCCAGAAGCTTCAGAGTCTGATCAATGGCTTCGTTAATTTTACCAGATGATAAAAGTAAATAGCAATTTAATGCTCCATAATAGGTGTTATTAGGGTATTTTTTTAATCTTATAGAAAGCAGAGATTGAGCGTATTTGAATGAACCTTGCTCAATGGCATCTAGGATATCTTGATCAGGATCGGACATGGTTGTTGGAGAACCTAAGTATAACCAATATTTCCGAATTTTTCAATAAAAATTCGTGCATTTGCTCACACTCTCAGCAGGAAATGGATACTGTTAGAGCAAATATTTGACATCTCTACATATTATCTGCGGCACCGAACGATACTTTGTGTATCAAGAATACTAATTGTATAGATCAATACTTATGAAAAACTTTCACTCTTGCATGGTTACAGAATACTTAACAACGATAAAGCATTTGAGTCGCTCCTTTGATCTTCCATACTCTGATTTTCATGTCCCGAGTTCCTACTCAAACAATCATGTTCATATCTACATGCCGAGGATCATCGCTATGCGAGTTTCCCAATACTGAGTATCCAGATAGTGTAATCTGACTGTCCAATT